CAGTTTACACTTGATGCCATACATTTATTTGGTTTTCCAAACATGTTTGTACATTGGATCTAGCCCAATGCATTACTAACCCCTTCCTATTCTATATCTCTTAATGGGCAATTATTTAGGTTTTTTAAGGGCAAAAGGGGCATTAGGCAAGGAGATCCTATTTTTCCCTTGCTCTTTGTACTTGCGATGGAGTTGCTCTCTCTGTCACTCAACAATGCTATCTCTCAAAGCTCAAGTTTTATATGTATCACTGGAGGTGCAACAAGCTGTCCATCTCCCATCTTGTTTTTTATGATCGATATCTTACTATATTTTCATAAATGAATTGTGAAGAGACAAATATGATGTAATGCTTTGGAGTAGGTACCATTCCAACCACACAGCACTATTTGATTGTCATCTCTTTGTGTGTGTGAGTGAGTCTTTTTTTTGTTTGTTAAAGAAAATGGACAGATATTTGTGGCAATAATGTGCAATGTATAGCATGAGTTTATGTAGGTATTTTCAGGGATGTCAATGGGTTTCAATTTAAAGCACCTTATATTTAAATTGTTTTTGTTTTCTCAGTTTTGATTTTTTTTTTAAAGCAACCTCCTAGGCCAATTGTTGGTTCTTCCATGTATAATCCCAGAATTTATAATATATTATGGATCTAACCATCTCTAGTCTATCAATATTTTTGAGTCATGTTTATCTATTGAGTTCAAGTATGTATGAGTAGGTGTGTATGAGTGTATTTTTTGTTAAAATAAAAAATATATATATTAATTTTTTTTTCTTCATGTATTACAACTTCTACCAACCAATAAAATTGGGTTATTAAAAGGAACTACAAAAAACAAATTACATATATTACAACTTCTACCAACCTGTAAAACCTAGGTATTAAAAGGAACCATGCATATGGAAGGAACTTATAGAAGGAACTTTACTAAAGGAAAAAAATATTTATAAAACTGTTTTCGATAAATTGCTTATTATTGAAGTCAAACTTATTACTTCTATTTACAAAATAACAATAATAAATTAAATAAAATAAAAATGATGCATTCCAATTAGTTGCCAATGGGTAGGTTTGGGACATATGATTCAAACTCGACCCATCCCCCAACAAATGTAAGATAAACAGTTAAATTTTTATCAATCATAATAATAAAAAGTTGTTAAAAGTTAAAATTATCGTAAGAAATGAAGAGAGAGAAACAATAGTTAATAGAATTAAATTAATCTTTTATATATATATAATTAATTGGGGCGAGCTAGTTTAGGGCTTTGGGTTTTAAATTATTTTTTTAAACCAGCCCCTAATCCTATTAAGATGATCCTAAATCTGTCTCGGGCGAAATGGAGAAGCCCTTAAAATTACAGAAACAAACATTAATTACTGTAAGTGCAAAATTCTACTCAACCAATAACAATTGAGAAAAATAATACAACACACTCAAGAACAGTAAAAATAAATAAGAACAGTATCTAGAAAAGCGTAGAATTGCTCAATCCTTTTATTCGAGGTCTGGGCCTCCATTTATACACAAAAGATTCGTTGAATTATGGTAGGACTCGCATTGCTTGTCCTCTAATTCTTTCCCTACAGAAATTCTTTACAAATAGAGCTCCTTCCTTTGTATAATTTTCCTTCTGTAGTAATTTCTTTCTTTGTTGTATCTTTCTTCTAATATGACTAATTTCCTTTCAATGAATTTGGGCCATAAGTAACCTGATCCATGTGACATTGATAACGGGCTGGATCTCTTGTTTCAGGCTTGAGCAATGCTACAGAGATCAATTAACTGTGACCTTGGGCTAGTGTCTTATGACTTTGGGCTGTCAACGAGCTTGGATTGGGCTTTGAGCAAGATGGACCTCTGACATTTGTGATGGATATTTATATTGCGATGACGTGTACAATTCTTACTGGAGGGAGATTTTTCCCTCCACAATTACCTTAACCCTAGGTAAAATAAAAGAAACAGAAGGTGAACCCTTATATATCTTGGAGTTTTGCAAGAAATCTCTTGAACTACAAGATATTCTCATTTTGTTGCCGTCTAAGTCATCGAAAAAGACAAAAAATTCATTGGAGTTTAGACCTACAAAGTCCCACCAGTACTGAAAAAGTCTCACCGGTTGGACTTAATTGATAGAATGACTTCGTACTTGTGTGTTTTTTTAAATTAGATTTTGACTCAATTTTGTTCTAAAACTGATCGAATGACCAATACGCATACGAGAGACATTTATTTTCACCATTGTTAAGAGCTTTTGAGAGGGTTTTTGAGAGAAAATCACAATTGATTTTTCTGTTTGTTTTTCTTTATTTGAAAGCACACACTTACTATTTGAGAGTGATATTAGGGTGATGTTCATGAGAGTGATATTAGGGTGGCGTACAAATCGAGCTTTTACGATTTATCTTAGTTGATCATAACATCAGTATTTTTTGTTTCCTTTCATTTTTGTGATTGTGAAAAATGCGAGTAAAATCACTTGAGAAGTGAGTCAACGTGAAATGATTACATTGATGTGGATCAATGTTGCTAGTTGTTCCGAAGTCACTAGGATCAAAACGACAGGTGATTCCAAAGGTATTCGAATCATAGACTCACGTGGAGAGTAGTTTCAAATGTACTGGAACTTGTTGTACGTACTCCTTTTAATCCCAGTGGATTGTTTCGCCAGGTGCGCACAATCTTTGTTTTTTTTTTCGTTTGCATTTTCACGTTAAAGAATTGATGGTATCGTCTCTCATTTTAAATTATTGCATTATTATTGCTATTAATCTAATTTTAATTTGATAGAATTAAAATTAATTTTAAAAACTTAGGTAAAGTGCAGAAAACTCTTCTGATATATAGATTTTGTGCAAAATTAGTCCCTACTTTTTTAAAATGTGCATGTAAGTCCACAAAATTAAAAAAAAAAAAAAAAAAAGGTGTAGAACTAGTCTCTCTGACCACCTTTTTACAAAAAGTAAAGCTGAAAACCCCATTTTACCATTTTATTTCCCATTTTACCCCTCACCATTTGTGCATAGAACCCCCTCTAAACCCAATTCTTCTCTCTCTATTGTTGTATTATACAATATATATATATATATATATATATATATATATATATATATACATACATACATACATATATCTATCCTTTTGAACAATATGATGCAGCAGTTACCTCATCAAAATGGTTTAAGGCCCCCGCAGTTAATGCTGCAACAACAAACACAGCAACATAGACTGCATCACCAATTTCAGCCATCATTTGGCCATTTGCCGGGGCTGCAGTCCCAACTATATCAGCCATAATATATTATAAATACCAGCCATGGCTTGTAACTATAATAATATACATTCAACACAGGACAAAAAATTGATATATTGTACTGGAGGAAATGGCTTGTAACCATAATAATATATGATCGATGTGAGATGGTACAAACCAGGGGTTGTGTAGAATTGAAGCTTGAGATTGAAAATTGGCCTTTGTGGTCTTTCTGTCTCTGAAAATGGATAATAGTATTGGGAAAAAGATCTGGTGGTTTTCCTCTTTGTGTATTTTCATTGGAGATATGATTACTACAAGTTAAGTAACATACTGTGATGGCTTGTAGAAAGATGAATTATTATTATTTTTTTTAATATGAAGTCCCTTTCATATATAATATTGATACTTATCAATCTTGATAGTAATTAGACCATAACATCCCAAATTAAGCAAGGTCCTTTTGATCTTTAACAAAAAATTTGAACGGGTATTGCTAATCATTTATAACCGGATTCTCGCCAGAAAAATCACCGGAATCGGATTTTCGCCAGAGAAGACGCGTGGGGCGCATGACAGCACGTGAAATCTACGCGCAAAATTTCAGGTGGCGAGTGTAAACGCGTGCAACGTCGTCTGTGGCTTTTATTTGCAGCGTCGTGTTCATCTTGGTATTGTGGACCTTATTCTGCCATCAAAATGTGATTTTGATCACGTTTAATTTCTGCGTTGTTGGCTCTCAAACGTAAAGGTTTGATCACCTTCAGGTTTCGACAGAGAGGGTAAGTGGAATGGGATTGAAACCACATTTCAATCCATCTTTGAATGATTTGGGATTGAATTCTAACATGGGTATTGATTTGAGGATTGAGGGATCGAGATCGCGGCCGAGGGCGGCGGTGGCGGTAAATTCTACATGGTCGAGTATGAAGTCGAAGCGGTGGCGGCGACGTAGGGTGGGGAGGTCGTTGGCGACCGCGTCTTGTTTGCGGCAGTACCAGAACCATTTGGCATAGAGATGAAAGAAAGAAGTTAATGGAGGTTTGTTAATAACTTCTGCAGATGCGCGGAAGAAGATGAACAGTGACATATGGACATAAGGCTGTGTTTGGGTTAAGGGAAATTAGGTTTAGGTGGTGTTTGGGATAAAAGGGTCATTTTACATGTTCTTTATTTATAATTATTAATTTATTCACTGAAGGGAGGGTATTATCGTCATTTTACACCACACAGGGACCTATTTGCACCAACTTGATAGTATAGGGGTTTTTTTATCACAAATGAACCTATATGCACTATATCGATAGTACAGAGGGTTTTCTACACTTGACCCTTTTAAAATCAAGAGAAAGCTTGACCTTGCCAACTTAACCTAGTACGTGGCATCACTTAATTGGCAAACATGACAAATATAGTAAAGTCAAAGAAACTACCATTGCATCTCCTCTACAATTCACTTTCATGTAGTACAATTGAATTGAAGTGCAGCAACAAATAACAACATTAGATCAATAATGCCCTCACAGAAAAATTAAATCAATAATTCAAATCCATTAAAATCAATAATTCAAATTCATTAAAATAAAGATGTAACGTCATATTGTTTCAACATTGGATTCTCAAGTCAATGATATTGTAATATTACAGCATAATGCTATATAATTATTGTATATTCTCAAAATATGTGTGTTAGTATTAAAATGCACAGGTCAATGGTCTTGGTATAATGTTGTAGTGGGGGTATTTACGTAATTACAAAGTCTTGGCAGAGGTGGTTCGCATGAGGCAAAGTCATTCCGTTTTGTCTCCTTCAGACAGAACCTCCTCCATGCCTTCCTCTCCGACCACTTCCAAACCCAAACCCTAGAATTAGATCTCACAATTTCTCTTTCTTCCAATCAAAGAATCCCAATTCCGAAGCATTCCTGGATCCTCAGATCATATATTCTTCAATTAACCGTCCCCATGTTACAGTCCCCATTTTACTTTTAGAGAGAGAAAACGTGATCATTCAACAATTCAATACCAAAATCGATTCTATTGGAGCTCTGTTGATGTTGCTTATTGTGATTCTGCGATTTTTACCGATCTGAACGATGGTTTCGGAGCCCGATTTGGTCCTCTACGCATGTATCTCCAAAGGAACTACGATTCTCGCAGAGTTCAACTCCACAGACGCCGGTCTCGGAACCCTAGCTGCAAAATGCCTCGAGAAGGCTCCTCCTTTGCACACAGTGTTCTCTCATACGATTCGAAACAGAACTTACACGTTCTTGATGGACGATCCTCTCGTCTATTTCGCTATATTCGATAAAGATCTCCACAGTTCAGAAGGTCTCTCCTTTCTCAGAAGTGTTAAAGACGCGTTCAATGAGATCATCGATAGCAAGTGTTTGGATAATTTGAATTCTTTTTGTTTTCAAGGCGAATTCAATCCGGTTTTTCACCGATTGTTGGCGCCACCGCCGGCAGATTCAGAAGTTCGGCATTCGCCGCAAGATGTCTTCAAACGCGGCAAAGGAGAGGGTTTGGATTCGCTCAGAGGAGAGAAAATTGGGTGTGTGCCTATGTTTAATGGCGATATGGGTAAGAATTTGAAGAAGAAAAAGAAGAAGAAGAGGTTGTTTGTGGACGCCAATGTTGAAGATGAGGATGGATTCAGTTTGAATGACGACAAGGTGGATGTTTCTGCTGCTGCTGCTGGTGGTGGTGTTCGGAGTAGAGAATTGTCGGTGTTCATGCAGAAGAATGGACTGGTTGCTGTCGATCCGGGCCACCAAAAGGCACGGCGGGTGTGGAAGAAACATGTCTGGGTGGTGTTGTTACTGGACTTGATTGTGTGTTGTATCTTGTTTGGAGTATGGTTGTGGGTTTGCAGGGGCTTTAAATGCATTCGTGGTTGAATTACAGTGTCTCAACTCTAGAGAGGTTTGAAGGCTTTGGTGGTGTCCTGCTTCAAGTTTGGGTGTTTTATCTGTATATTGCTGTTGTAAAATTAAGTTTGCTGAGCGTTCTATTGGCAATCCAATTCAACTTCTGGTTCAGCTTCTACTGGTAATTGCTCTTTTGTCTTCTTCTATGAGATACAATGCCCTTTTATGAATTTTAGGGCTGAGAATATATACCACTCCTTATATGGTTCTGAACTAGCTTGTTTTTATGGCTTAAACTGTGCATAACTACAGATATATAGCATTGCACAGCTAAATTATTTGCTTATTTGGTATTTGGGCTGCATGAAATGAAAATTGTTCCTTTTTGAGTCTTGTAATTTGTTTCAGTTTCAATCTTTTAAATGTGTTATTATTGTTTATGGAGAGATATTTACAGGAAGACTGTTTGGACTGAGATAATATGTGACATATATATTGGGCAAGGGATTCCAATATTATTGATATAAAAATAGACGTAGGTACCTCTGAAAATTGTCAGAAGCCTTCTTTTCCTTTTGATAAATACCTCTGTTTAAATCTATGCTCCCTAAACCTTTCAACTAGATGATCTGTATGCTAAAATGTGTATATGACCATATAGGGTACCTGATGCAAAATCAGGTATTGAATTTTAAATATTTGCCATTGTGACTAATGATGCTTGGCTTCTTAAAAAGATGAAAAATTAAATATTAAAATCTTACCCTCAAAGTTGGGGCTGTTCAACAAATCAAGCCATTTTCTGGCAACTTAAGCTACAGTCAGTTAAAAGCTTGTTCAAGTTCAGCCATTGAGCTGGGCGGTTTTGTGTGATAAATTAACCAACATTGGGCAATTCTCACATTTGATCTTTTTAGTTTAAATGAATAGACAAATAGAACTTATTTATTTATTGGATACATTAAACAGAACTATTTTGATACCATGCAATACAAATATAGAGTCATTGACATGACGAATATAGTCACTTTTGCTGGAAGATTCTAATTAGTATCATGCAGCAGATTCTGTTATCAAAATCAATCAAGCACTAAAAGCTGCTGGCCTGGCGGGGTGGGATGAGATTTAGTAGAATGTTTTTTCTCTATTCTAGTTAGCACCATTGGTGCTTTCTTCTTTGTTGCAACCTTTTCTTATGTTTAGGTTTCGTTGCTATCTTATTAGAAGACTGTTCTTTTTTGTTTAATTTAATTGCTACCTCGAATGATCTAATATTTAGTACAATCCTGAACAGTTTTAGCCTATATAAGCAAGAGCCCTTTTTGGTCATTCTGAGAGCAATTCAAGGACATCGCTATCCCATTGCTTTGGTATGACTGTCTAGATACTTTAAAGGCTAATTAAAGGGTACTGTCCTTTCAGCTTTCACCAAGCCAATTCCACATTAACACCCTATCTTCCAAGAAGAAAATGTGCTAGTTTTTGGCAAGTTTGTATATACAAAATTATGGTCTTCGAGAATAACCTGAAAATGTGCTTCAAGAGAACATGATAACATTGAAGAGAGTATGAAATTTGTGTTTGCAGAGAAGTTAAAATTAATGTGTTTGGTGGGTAAAACAGTATAAAGAAGATGGATTACAGGAAAAGCACCTGTTTAGTCTGCAATAATTCTGTTTATCTACCACTGTACCTTAGAAAATAAGGGCTTTCTAACATGATATGCTGTTTATGTAATACTTCTTTCTCTTTCTTAAAAGCCAATTATTAATGCAATTCTTTGGGAGGTTGAGTGTGCGAGTTCCTGTGGGGGCAAAAATATATAGTGGGTGTGTGTGTTTGCTTGAACTTTCGGAAAAATATATATATATACATATTAATGCATTTGAGCTTGGTTGATGCATTAGGAGTAACGTTTAGACACATTTAGTAGATATTGGCCCATTGCACAAGACCTACAGCTTAAGAATGCAAGGCTATTTACATTATTATGAAAACTTGGGCTACTGAATTTATTCCATTATAGCACAAGTTATATCTGACCAGTTAATAAAAATCAGGATTTGACAGTTCACAGCTTATTTTCAACAGAAAACTTACAAATAGTTGAAAGGACAAAATAATGAATCACAAAAGATAACAGCTGTAAAATAAAACAATCCTCTCTGTTATGTGCATTATTCCTCGTTGGTTTTTCTTCTTTCGTTCTCTTTTTAATCGGCCAACGAAAAACAGGGTTTGATCACTCGTAAATTTCATGCATGCTTACGAGTGCTAAATGTTTATGCATATATAACATATAATATAATCTTATCTCTATATATATACTTTTAAAATTTTTGCCATTAAGATCCAATCTGCTTGTGAAGTTTTTTGAAACTTATAGAATAAAACAGAGCTCAATCTTTATCTATCAAGTACATTTTTTTCATATAGTAGGCCTTCCCCATAAAGTTGTATAGCTAGGCAGGCCTTCAGATCTCTTTATCTCTCTCTCTCTCTCTGCAACTGCAAACCGCAAAATCTACAAGATTCAGAAGTTCAAAACCCATATATTTCAGTTTGTCTATCTGTCTGCAAGAATCAAAAGTTCAAAACCCATATCGGCATATCATTTCAGATTGTTCAAAAAATCAAAACCCATATCTTTCAGTTTCCATCGCCGCTGTTCCAGTTCGGGTTCGCCGTTCGCAAGCTTCAGCCGCTGGCCCGCTGTCTCTCAACTCTCAAGCTTGCGCCCCTATCTCTCTGCAACTGCTAACTTGTATGTATTGGTTTTGTTTTAATTTTTTTTCTAAATCAACTAATCAAGGTCTGTAATTCTTGTTTTGCAAACTAAATCCTATTTGGTGAAATTTTTTATGAACTTTTTAATATATATATATATATATATTTACAATATAAAGTAACAAAATTTGCATGGCATTTTGAGGTAATCACCGTAATCATACATTTTATTTCAGCAAAACAAATATATATTTTTTATTTCTATAACTTCTATTTGTGTGTTTTTTTTTTTTTTTTTGCCAATTATGTCTACAAGAATAATTTGTCATCTTTTGTAAAGAAATACATTGTTGGTGATTGGTGTAATACAAGCCTACATGTTAACACTGCTCTTTTCGCCTAATTAGAATCAGTATTCGATTTTGCAATCGCCCACAATCTAAAACGTACAGACACTTCTACGAAGGTACCCTGATTGTGTCGGACACGTCACTACATGGACATGTGTCCGATACTTCATGGATGTGTCTATAATTTAGAAATATTTTTTATTAATTCGGACACTTAGTCAACACATTCTAAACGCTTGTGATACAAAAACACAGTTTAAAGTGTCCGATCTCTTTTTCATTAAAAAGAAAATTAATGCCACATGTATAACATATTAAACAAGACTACAATTATAATGACAAGATGGTAGAGTAATAACATAAATGATATTTGGATATTCACATAACTGTTTCCTCTAAATTATGTAACATGCTATAATTATCTTATTTAATAAAGTTATAAATGGTGATTTATATTTACATTAACCATGACTATGTTGCATCTATGTCCTACTTTTTAAAGAATTGACGTGTCACCAAATTCATGTTGTATTATGTCCGAGTCCGTGCTACTTGGCTCACAATTGACAAGACCACTATTTTGCTCACGGTTCCACCTACTAATATATTATATATTATGCGTATATATTTATATATATATATATATATTTTTTGATAAGTATATTATTTGTGTGTGTGTGTATATATATATATTGTTTTTTCCCTTGATCAGAATTGCAGTCCCAAGTCTGGACTGATTAATAAAGCTTGTCACAGCAGGAAGGAATGGCAATCCCAGTAACAACCTGTTGCCAATGTCCCACAAACAGAATGGAAAGTACCTTATTTAAAGAGACCAACACTATATGGTGGTCTTCATTTCAATTTTTTTTTTTTTTTTTTTTTTTTCCTTGGAAAGATTTTGGTGTGAAAAGATGTATTTTCTGGAAACGGTTCCGGTTCCATTTCCCAAGTTGTCACTGTTTTTGGGTTTTGTTGGTTTGCTGCTTGTTTGGTGAAATATTGTGTAGGTTTACACTTAGGTGACACACAGTCTAATTTCACTCACACACTTAGCTGCAAAACCATGCAATTATTGTTTGCTTGTGTTTTCAAATTCTGAGTTTTTGCTTTCTATATTGTGTTGGTCTATGATTTCAATTCTCCATACGGTGGCATTGGGAAAACTTTTTTTTTTTTTTTGGGCTGATTTGAAAGGCTTTTTTGTATTATGAATTATTGGAACCAAATAGTTTCTGTTAGTACTTTATTTTATTTTTAATTTTTCCTTTTCTGCATAGGTGAAAATGGAACAATAGGTTGGACATGGAATCAATTGGAAGTATATAGGAAAATCTTGTCCTCTCAAGTAGGGGTTTTTTTTTTTAAAAAAAAAAAAAAAAAAAAAAAAAAAAAAAAAAAAAAAAATCTGAATTATTGGAACCATGGTGAATGCAATGGTGTTATTTATAGATACTGGAAGAATGGTTACTATTTATGTTAAGAGGATTGTTGATAAATTTATTGGTTATTTTTTGGGTATATTACAATCATGTCCGTAGGAATCTCAACCAAAGTGATGAAACGAATTTTTAGATATTTATTGGACGTTTATAGATTTGGTATTATGGTGGCCAAAACACATCTTTTGATCTTTATAGTTATTCGATGCCGATTTGCTGGTTGTGTCGTGGATAGAAAGAGCACTAGTGGAACTTGTCACGTTCCGTCTAGAGCGGATAGATTATACATCAAACAGTAACTTGTGGATTTCAAACATAGCTTTGAGCACATTTTCATTAGATGTGACCATAGGAGTGCTTAAACATTTCTAAGAATTCAATTCGGCATCGTAGAATTATGCATAAGCACAAATTGTTCATTCTAACTAACATTGGTATTCTCATAACTAATTGGCAACTCAAGAAGTAAGGGGGTGGAACTTGGGCGAGCTAATTCAATTTAATCAGGAATTTTGAAATTTGGACTTTAAGTTTACAAATTGAGCTCATGTTCCAGTTGGGTTCTGAATATCAAACATATTCGGATTGGACTCGGGTTCATCCCGAATCCAAAATAAATAAATAATTTTTTTTTCTCCTTTCTCTCTCCTATCTCTCTCTCTCTTCCTTCTCTCTACCGCCATCCCATGTAAACTGAAAGATCTGGGTTTTGATTTTTTGAAGTTCTGGGAAACTGAAACTGAATGATCTGGGTTTTGATTTTATGATCTTTTGAAGATCTGGGTCATATATTTGAGATTTTTTTTCTCCTTTCTCTCTCCTCTCTCTACCGCCGTCCCATGTAAACTAAAACTGAAAGATCCGGCTCATGTTGATTTTTTGAAATTCTGGGAAACTAAAAGATTTGGTTGAACAATCTGAAATTATATGCCGATATGGGTTTTGAACTTTTGATTCTTGCAGACAGATGGGTTTTGAAATATATGGGTTTTGAAGTTCTGATTCTTGTAGATTTTGTCGATTACAGAGAGAGAGGGAGAGAGAGAGATACAGAAAGTTCAGAGAGAACAGAGATGGAGGCGATTGGGGGGCTAAAATGATTTGCCCTAAAAATAATATAATATAGATATATATATATATATATATATATTCAAAAAAATATATATATATATATATATTCAAAAAAATATATATATATTTAAATCGCAACCCGTCAATCGGACCCAATCCGTCCGGAAATATTCGGACCGGTTATGACCATAATTCATATTGGATACAATTCGGGTTGGTTCAACCCAATTCGATTCGGGTTGAGGTTGAGTTGGAATTGGGCTAGGTTGGGTCAGCCTAACTTGCAACCCTACCAAAAAGTCTAGTAAACATTTGGTGATAAATATAAAAATGTAAATAATTTTGGAAGCTAAATTGAATTAAAAAGCTAGAATTTGCAGATGTAAGAATTCCATTTAACTGAATCTCTCTTTTGTAGGTATAATGAAAATATATACAAAGTCTATGGAGAGACATAGAATAATTGTGATTTGTACATTTTCAATCTCTAAATATTTTACTCCACCTAGGTAAAATACATTTGAAGTAGAAAACTAAAAAGTCAAGAGAGATTCTACACCATAATATACCAAATCTCCGGCAAGTGCGTGTGTATAAAATTGTATTAATTTATAGAGCGTAGTCTTCTCTATAGTAATTTAGTATTGTGTATAGATTTTTTTAGATATTCTTCTTTGGGAGTGTTTTAGAGCATTCTAGTAATCTCATAGCCGTCGGATTGGTGACACATGTATATACCTTAGCCATTCAATGTTTGCTCCTCACCGATGTTAAGGTAGAATAAAAAATATAGAAAATGGGATATTTTACAAACAAAAAGGTGGAATAAACAAAATAAAAAATCAATCACTAAATCAAAATGAAAGCAATTGCTTTAGTAATTGAAACCACCTGTAATTAGATTTCTAAACCACCTGTAATTAGAGGGTGACCGTTCTCCCTCACAAAGTATAATATAGGAATAGGGATTAAGATAAAATGAAGTAGATGGATTAAGAAGGGTGACGTGTCTCTTCCTTACAAATAAAGTGTAGAATACGGAGGAGCAGGGTACCTCACAAATAAAATTTGAATTTGAATAGTTTAACATATTGCAAATTTTTTGTGTTTTTTTTGTTTTACGATAATTAAAATTTATTAATGTTATTTGGCCATTACTCTCGAGACTTTTACTAAACGCGACCCATGCATTGTTCACGCAAACATATAGCACACCAAAAAAAAAGCAGAATGTCTTCTGTTTGGATCTAAGAAATAGAGAAATCCAAGGGAGAGGGAGAGAGCCACCAAATTGATTCACGTGACTGCCATGAAATTTACAACTAGCAGTTTTACCAACCAATTTCCGCATTGTGATGCTCATTTGCAGGTTTTCACATTGTCCAAATTATTATTAAGTTATGTTTGGCTGATATGGAATTGGAATTTTAGAATTATAATTAGAATTGATGGAATTGGAACAATATAACTTAAAAAATTAAATTAAAATTTTCTCTAATTCTACTGATTACAATTCCAAAAATGTCGCCAAACACAGCGTACTACTGTTTTGGTTGTTAATACGGCCTCCTCCTTTTCTTTTCTTTTTTTCTTGAGATCTTTTACTCAATTTGGCACATCTTGCTTTAATATCAACTTATTAATTTGAAATTGTTGATATGGTCACAATGAACTAATTCCATTCCAAAGCAAGGTGACTATACTAACCCATCATTTTAGAATGGTGATTAATCAATAGGCATGTGACCGTGGAAAAAAAGAAAAAAAAATAGACATGTGACCTAGCAGTATAAGGTTCCTACGTCTCAAAAAGAGGTCAAGGATTCGAACCTTAGTGGAGACGGTGTGTGTGAGTCCCAACTAAGAAAAAAAAAAAAACAAATGGTGACTATATTATGCTAGAGGATTGTTGATCAATTGATTGGGTTTTTTGGGTACTGTGTGGATCAACAACAGTATATATGAATAAGATGTGGATTTTTAGAAGCATAGAGAAATGATTAGAAGCCTCGGCAAGTATAGAAATGCTATATTCCAATAATGTCCTTAGAATCTCAACCAAGTGATGAAACGATTTTTATGTCTTTTTAAGATATTTATATAGATTTGGGATTATGTTGTCTTTTGATTTTTGTAGTTATTCGATAACTAATTCCCAATAACCAGAAAGTCTCATAAACATTTGGTGATAAGATAAAAATGCAAATAATTTTGAAAGATAAATTTAATTTAAAAGCTAGAATTTGCATAATTCAATTTAACTGAATCTCTCCTTTGTATACAAAGTTAACATAAAATCACATAGTCTCCAATTATATATATATATATGAGTAATTCGAACCACCTGTGTACTTAAGAGGAGTTTCATATCTTCTCTCACAAATTCTACAAGATAGGTATGATGAGTATAAACATATTGCAAATTTGCAACACAATTGAAATACATTTCAAATTTTTTTAAATGATAAAATATAGAGCACTTTATTATCGCCACTTTATTATATTATAATTAAATCTCAGTTCTCATGGAAAAAATAAAAATAAAAATTATAAATAGCATAAATGCTTTTGTTCATACAAACATATAGCAGACCCAACATTTGTGATTGACCTAGTATATAAGCAGACGACATCTTTTTTTATTTTTTGAAAGAATCAGGAGAAATTATAGCAATGACAGCAAATTTCCATATTTAACAACTCAATTATTCTCCAAGTAATTACTGTCGCGTCGAAAGCCATTAACATTTTTGTTTCATCCTCTCTGCTTTTGTCCCATATGAATGGGGTGGTGATTCAGTAGCAGTGGACAGCAAAATGACTTCGTTACGCATTTCATTAGGAACGGCAAATTTTTTGATACATCACATTCATGCATTTACGACGGTGTTGATACTCTTGAAAAGTGTTGTATTTGCTCATAGAACCTGTTTGATGCCGAATGAAGCAAAGTACACAGTAAGCAGGTGTTCCCGTCCCACCATTCCTAGATTTGAGGGCTTCTTCCAAATGGGAGGGGTATCTTGGTGGAAGAAATGAGAGACTCCTCTACAATACAGTACTCGTTGCTAGCTCCACCAAGCTAGCTATATCCGATTTTGGTTGGCTTTTCACCCCTAGCCACAAGTCATCAAAAGTGCAAAATATATGAAATTTTTATTTTTTTTATTTTTTTAACATCACTTAAAATTTTGATAAGACACAAACAACCCTCCTAGTTGGTACATCTCCCGCTCTGCAATGAACTTGACCAAAAGTTATCACTTCAATTCATTACATTTAGTTCTTGTGCATTGACTAAACTGCTTTATATGCATGCGAGAAAGAAGATGAAAGAAAGGAACAAAAAAAGAAGAAAACCTTCAGGACCATTTGTGAGTGAAAGAAACAAAGAATTAAGGATAATTTGGTCTTTTCCTTATTGAAGGTTTTAGAGCTAAAGAGGAGATTGCTGGAACACAACAAATAGCAGCTCCCTATATAATTTTGACCACGATCAAAGAATTACTTGCTTGTAAAAGCTAATAGTTTAAATAACAAATTCAAAACCCAGCTTATTCGTTGGATGATAGTAAATCTGACATTTAATAAATGTGACCAATGTATTAAATCAGAATTGGAGTAGAAAAAGTATGACCTAATAGAGAACTACCACAAGCAAATGCAGAATAAATCAAAACTAATTTTGGCTGACAATATTTCCATAAGATTAAAGAGTGACATTACATAATGAAGATATGAAGAAAAAAAAAAACTAATATAACTGCACCGCGACTTAACTTGAGATATTCGTTCCAAAAAAAAAAAACACTCATCATGAATAGATTCTGAGAGAGGGCATGATGGGCGGATACAACTACCAGCCCCTGTCCACATATAGATGAACAACTAATACTCCTACCATCATCACTACTCTATACATGGCAACAAGTTCTTCTGACCAGAGAAACAACAGTAGCAACAAAAATTCGTATATACTACAAATCGACTAAAGATTTAGATAATTGTCCATGAAACACTAATTTATTAGAGCTGATAAGAATACACGACAGACATTGAACTACCTGCCGGTCTTACCCACAAGGGGTGAGCTTCTTGTTGCCGGCGCCCCGAGGATTATCGTCTTTCCAGTCATCCCATGCCCTCGCCTTCTCTTGGGCAGCATCATCATCTTCGTCCTCTTCACCTGGCCTCAACATCCGGTTGTCCTTGTGCCATGCTGAATTGGCTTCTTCTAAGAACTTGGCATTTCTCTCCTGCCATTTATTCATCATCTCCATCTCCTTTAACCCAGCTTCCTCTATGCTCATAGTAGGCAATCTAATTCACCCCGAAATAGGAAAAAAAAAAAAAAAAAATGTCCGATTAACATTGTATACGATAAGTGTTCCCTTCTAACTACTCAATTATTGGTTTGTTAAAAAGCATGGAAATATACCTGAAACCAGGCTGGAAAACCTGTGCTTTCATCCTTTCCCTTTCACTTGTTAGGCTTCCTCCAACAACACTTGCTGGTCCAAATATCATTGGCTGGTGTTTGTGTTCATGTTCCTGTGAAACCTTAGCTCTCCCTTCTAAAACATCTTGAGCAAAAGTAGCACATGTAATAGGCGGTGCTGGTTTTGTATATCGAGCTCGAACTGCCGCGTTACGATGCCAATCTTCTGCTCTCTTGGTGCGCTCATCAAGAATAGCCTGCGAAACTTCCTCTTCTCCTTCCTGCAAAAGAAAAATACAGCATTAGTACCTCCTAAATCTCTCTATTCATTATAATACGAGCGCCTGACTGGCCATGGTGTGGGGAAAAGAGGTGGTGCTTTTATAAAAGGAAGAAAACTCCATAACAATGTAAACATGATAAATGAGGTTGTGAAGGGGTTTAATTCTTCAAGAATGGATCCTACTATGGCTGTCAGGATTGACTTAAAAAATGCATATGACTGTCACGGCCTTCTCTCTTTAATTTGCTGCAAGATTATGGCTTTGGTGGAAGATGGATTCGGTGGGTAAGGGTGTGCCCTGAATCACCCTAGTTCTCTATCCTTGTGAATGATTTCCCTGCAGGTTTTTCTCAACCTCAGAACGGCCTCAGACAAGGGTGTCTTCTCTCTCCCTTATTTACTCGTTATTGAATTTTTTCTGGTCTAATCCAAAAAGAGGTTGATGCTGGGATATTTTAGTTTTGCAAGGCAGCCCATCAGGTTGGGATAGGCTTTTCCCATTGCTTGTTTTCTAGATGATTTGCCGATTGTCTCCAAGGCTGATGCTGGTACTGCCAAAAGCATTGAAAACTTACTGCAAACCTTCCATTCAGTTTCAGGATTGGCAGTCAACTTTGATATAAGTGGTGTTTTTTTCAGCTTCAGTTAGGAGGAAATGGGTGCTCAAAAATATTTTGAAGATGATGTTAGGGAAAAAATCTTAAGCATTCCTGCCTTGACGGATAAAATCAGTAACTGGAACTCCATAAATCTCTCTTTGCCTGGAAGAGTGGAGCTCATGAAAACTGTCATCTCCTCCTCCTTTTATCATCGGTGCTATACCTTTAAGATTCCAGCCTTCTCCTCCTCTTTGATTGACAAAATGATGAAGTATTTCATTTGGGGAAGTAAGGAGATTGATACGAATATGCATCTTGTGAATTGGAATCAGGTGACCAAACCTATAGTAGAGGGTTTGGGGATCAGAAAGGTTAGAGAAGTTTATAGAGCAGCTAAAGCTACTTTCCTTTGGAATTTTATTCAAAGAAAAGACAGTTTGTGGATTGTCTGGCTTAAAGCTAACAAGGTTGTACTCCCTTCTGTGTGGAGTTGCAGCAACAGAAGCAGGTTTTCTATGTTCTGGAAACACCCGCTGGAGATTAGGGATGATCTTGTGCCTATTGTGTAGTTCAAAATCGGAGATGGTCAATCAACCAATCTATTTTTGGATCTTGATGGTAAGGCAAGTCTCCAATTCAAACTTTTGGTCATAGAGTTGTGAGATGGTATGATTTGTCAAAAATTGCAAACATTAGGGATATTATTCAAAAATGATACTTGGCAAAAGCCTAGGTTACTTGCTCCCAATGCACACCATTACTGGACTCAAATTTCAGCTACTCAGATCCAACAAGACTGACAAAATTGTTTGGAAACATGGTGCCATATCATTCAAATCAGTTTGGAAAAATATGAGAGGCCTTCACCCCCAAAAAGCCTGGTATAAAATACGCTGGAATCAGAGTAGGCCTGCAGCTTGTCTAACCTCTTGCTTAGTCCTTCAGAACAAGATACCTTCTCTGTCCAATCTGCAGTTAAGAGGGTCTCACACCTGTGTCTCATAATTGCTTCAAAGTTATGGACAAGGTTGAGCATCTGTTTTTTGAATGTCAGTACACTTCTTATGTGTGGAGATGGCTGTTTGATATCTGCCACTGGAATTGGGATCAATTGGTCATATGGCCTCTGACAAAGTTCAAAGCTGATACCAAACGAAATAAATGGTGCAGAATGTTGTTTTCCTCTGTTGTTTGGGGCATTTGGTAACAGCAGGAATCTGAATCTTCATCAAGGAGATGCCCCGAGTGGTACTCAATTGGCTGGAGGATCTTTTGGGAAGTCGGTGAATTGGGAAGAATCCACGTCTGATGTCCAAAATTGAATAAATGAGTAGTGCTAGTCTGGTTCTTTTGTATGCCTAGCCTTCTGTCCATTATATAGATGGAAAGAGGTGTTGTGATCATGTGTCGTGCATTGTTGCATTGTTTTTAGTCATCTTAATGTTATTCTGAGGGTGGCTAGAAGCAGTGATAGTTTCCTTTTTCTGTTTTTTTATTATTTCTGTGTTAATATATACAAACCAAAGGCATACTTCTAATTATTACTGGAATAATAATTACCAACTCACCTCAGATATCTTCAGAAAATATTACAAAATAAACATTTAGACAAGTAAGTTCAACTATGATATCTACAAATCCAAAATGCATAAAACTTTTCCTCAGAGTTGATGCCACAAAGATATCATTATTAAGCAACATAATTCATGTTGGCAGAAATACAAAGTTTCAGCAAACATATGATGGTCAAGCTTCCAGGGCCCATGTTAAATTTTTGTTGAGGCTGAAGTATTATATAGAAGTAATAAAGTAATCGTGTAAATCATTAAAATATGGAACATTAAGAAAACAGAACAATCTTTTCTTCCCTTCTTTTCCCAACAATAGATACTTCATTAAATCTAATGAACCCCTAAAAGAAAAACCCTCTAGTCATAAAGGTTTTTCACAACGGCTTCTTAATGTTATCCGAAAGTTCTCTAAAGAGAAAATTCCCTGCTATAGAGAAAATTGGAAAGTTAAATCCATTGGAGATCATATTTTAGAACCTATCCTACTTAATTAACTCAACAAAGCCTTTCGCAAATATTTCCCAGCACCTACATGATTTTGTTTCCCCATTTTCAGTTCAGCTCTACTTTGGAATCCTTTCTGTATCACATCCCAAGCCATCTTATATTTATTCCCGACGTCCGTCTGCCTTCATTTTTAAAGCTTTCTATTATCTTCACAGAACATTCAAAACTAAATAGTTCATCCCAGAAGGTGGATTTATTGGTCTTTGTTACACATGGCCAAACTGTCTCAAACAACTCATAATCGCTAAAGCAGCTCATAATGCCTCATGTTATAAATTGATGACACCACTATCTTCTCTTTATGCGCTCACTAGTTTCATCCATATTACAGCATATCCACCTCGCCATCCTCATCCTCTAAACACATTTTTTACATACTTCTTGGTAGCCTGACACTTCGACAATCCGGTCACTTGCTCAATCCTAACAATTTTTTTAAACCTTCCTATATCATTTTAAATCTATTAATATATATACACTTGCTCTATCCCTCTTTATCAAAGCAGATGCCAGAAAGAGTTCAAAACATAAATAACTGCACCTTCCATTGATACATTAATTTGCTAGGTTGGAATAAACAATCTCCCAGATCACAACTTGTGTTTTAAAATTTTAATGTATGTTAAGTTTGTAAAGAATCTTCATTCCAAACCTTCTAAATCTTTAGTTATTTACATTTAAACTTCTTACACAGAAACCAGAATCTCTAACACCTCCAGCCTGCTAATGATTCATAGAGACAACCATTCTCAAATAAAGTCATCGACACAAAGAGACAAAGAAGTCCAAAGTGAGAGCAAAAAAGTCAAACTCTTACATGCATCCAGATCCAGTAACTAACATAGAACAAAGATCTGGGATTTGAACCATCTGGTTCTTTAACTCGTCCAACTCAGGCAGATTGTTTCCATTACCACAACAGAAAATGATCTTTGAATAAAACATTAGACTTAAACAACGGAGCAAACCAATTGACGGTTTTGTAAGCTTCTACTGTCCAGGAGCAGACCAATTGATGGTTTGTAAGCTTCTACTGTCCAGGCCAGGCCAGTCCCGGTATCAAGTCACTGGTTTTGGTAGACCCATATGTTCCAACAAGTTAACATTTGATATTAATTAGCAAAGAGATGACAATTGTCTATTCCACCTAGAACGGATATGATTTTAATTCAAACAAGTTGCTTATACATTTCTATGGGCATCCTAGAGCAGGTTCCATGTTAATAGACCCGAGACGGGGAGAATTTTTGGAGTAAAAATTCAATCTACCAAATGTGACCTCTTACATTAAATGCAGACATAGGAGAATATGACATGTCTTGCTCTTGTCCATGTATCAAGTTTTCAATTTAGAGACAATTAGACACTGCTTACTTTGTTCCAGATGATATGTTCAGGAAAAGAACAGTGAATTATGAAGTGGCGAAATCCAAAATAGAGATACAGAAAAATCCATTTCACTATTAATATATAAGAATATTTTCAGTGACCACAAAGTAAGCATAACATTACCTGTAATTGCTTTTCCTTTACGGCCGAGAGCATTTCGTCCTCTCTCTTAAGCATTTCTAGTAGATCAAAAGCCTAAAATAGTTTCACAGCAAGAAAAATAGGTTATGAATATGTACAAATGATCACAAATAAGAAACTTGGCATCACAGTAAATATTAAATCTATTAGACCAACCTTACAAAGAGCCAAAGAGATGGTTGTAAGCCATGCCTGCACAAAAATAATACTATCATCACAAGGAAACTGCAACATTTCATTATAATCAAAAAGTAGAATTGTTTGAACTTATATTAACGTGAGTACTGATTGGACTGTGCATTTAATTCATGAATTAATATAATTATTATGTGCACCATGTTTGTTAGATTTATTAATACAGAATCGACAAAGGAACATATAGTAGTAATTGATAAAAGCAACTCAATGGCTTAGGTTAAGTTCCCTTAGCACAAACAAAAGAAATTTGTACAGGATCACATTTGGAGGAACAATGGTATTCACAGTCGGAATGAATTTGGAGCACCATTTAATGGCCAAGTATGGATTATAAATTAAGGATGACCTAAATTGATATAATGTCACAATAACAACTCCAATTGTGAGACAACAAAAAAATAAATCCAAGGATTAGGGAACCCAATCACAGATCATAAATGTCAGTAAACCATTAACTAAACCCAGAATAAGAAATATGGTATAATGTTACCATGGATTGTCAATTCAAAATCCCATGCAAAGTTGAATTTCATTTTATCAGTAGACTTGCAGAGTGGAGAAACCTATAACATTTGCAAGACCATATGGTGGTTTTATACAGACAAGGACGATATCTCGGTATGAGCCAAGGGATGGTGTGGTATTTCTGGGAAAATTTGGCTGTATGAGCCAATGCAGGTAACAGTTATCACAGTGGTGGCGTGATGCAGTGCAATTACTAATGATGGTTGGTGGTCAGTACGGTGATGGCACTAATTGTTGTAGTTCTAATAATGGTGGGTTGGCAGCAGTGTACCAATGACAATGGTTCTGCTTTTGCAGTGGTTTGCAGTTTTTTCTCAGTAAGGACTACAGAATGTGTTAATTGCTTCGTAATGGTGGTAGAGAGCCAGTAATTGAACACTATCCTATAATTATCAAAGATTTTACACAAAAATCCAATTAAATTGCTTTAAAACTATTCCAGCACACACCTAATAATTGCCAATTAGCAGAGGAGGTGATAACGGTGAGCTAAAGATTTTTATTTTCTTTTTTTGTAAAGCAGACACTTTGTGTAATATTAATGCCAAAGGTTATATCTGTCTCTAGTCTTCGTCTCCCATCTATTTTTTTCTTTTTTTAATGATAAGTAATGGTGAGGTAAGATGTTACATACTAAGCAAAAAAATTAAGGCTTAATACAATAGCTTATATAGATAATAAAAGTTAATTCTTAATTAGAATTCATCAAACCTCAATACATATATTGTTTGTATCACAATAGCCTGGCAAAGGTGATTAACAGATTCAAAGACTTCATTTTTCATAATTAGTACATAACAGCTAACCTCCCTTTCTTCCTCTCCATCATCATCCGACAGATCCTCATCTCCTGCCTCAACAGGAGTAGATAAGGCGGAAGCCTTGGTTGAACGCCCACGTCGCTCCTTCCGCTCCTTTATCTCCAGCAGCTTTGACTCTGCAGCTCTTTGGCGCTTGAACCTAGCTATCTGAAGTGGTAACTTTAAAATTAGAACTAAAACATAACTAAAAACTCCCAATGCAATCAATTTTGAGTTGCACAGAGAGTTAGAAGTTATCATGAAGAACATTAAGCATAATGAGGAATGCAGTAACAAACAACACAAATAAATCTATTGATAATAAAATTCAATGCTACCTTCTTTGCTCTTCGATCTGCACCTTGTATGGAAGTCTCTAATTCCTCTTCAGGCACAAGCTCTATTGCCTCACAAAATGATATGAATTCCTGAAAACATAGCAGTATAGAAAATCTTTATCGTCAACATGAGACATACACTATTTAAATAAATAAATAAATAACAAATAAAATATCTTTGCAGACAGCAAAATAAGAACACCAAATGTCCAAAGGCTCTATTTACAAGCATGCTGATATTTAAGCTTCAACACAGAACATTTTTTACCTTTAGCTTTGCCTGTGACATCTTAACGACTTGTATCCTATCATCCTGTGCAATTTTCTCTGTCAACTCAGCAAGATAAAATGGAACCTGACATGAAAAACTGTCAGTATCTGCCATATAAATCACATCTTGTAAAACCAAACCGAATTGAAACTAACATCTATGCATTTGATAATTTTAATTCAAACATTATAAAAGCTAGGAGCCTTTTTCAAAGTGTAAAAATTCAAGAGAACTGAATCTCCCATCCACATACAAACTTCTTTTCCATAATAAAAGGAAAAACACAAAGAAGAAAGGAACAAATATTAATTTATGTGACTAATTTGACATTGATGTCATACTGCAAATAAAAATTAAGTTATAATGGCTTTAAGCATGATAACAAAAATCAATGACTAATGCATGATTTTATTGTGATAGACAGCTATCCATGACCGAATTGTATCCTATCATCCTGTGCAATTTTCTCTGTCAACTCAGCAAGACAAAATGGAACCTGACATGAAAAACTGTCAGTATCTGCCATATAAATCACATCTTGTAAAACCAAACCGAATTGAAACTAACATCTATGCATTTGATAATTTTAATTCAAACATTATAAAAGCTAGGAGCCTTTTTCAAAGTGTAAAAATTCAAGAGAACTGAATCTCCCATCCACATACAAACTTCTTTTCCATAATAAAAGGAAAAACACAAAGAAGAAAGTAAAAAAGAAGAAAGGAATAAATATTAATTTATGTGACTAATTTGACATTGATGTCATACTGCAAATTAAGTTATAATGGCTTTAAGCATGATAACAAAAATCAATGACTAATGCATGATTTTATTGTGATAGACAGCGATCTATGACCCCTCAACTGTTATCCTAGACTTGCTATATGATTGAATTAAACAGTTGAAGAAAGATTAATAGATCACTGAGACATAACAATTTTAAATCCATCACTCTCTTTCTATTTTAAAAAGATTGAGGCATCTTTTTTCCGTTAGTAACACAATTAGTGACTAAGACGCATTTAGAAGCACCCCACAATAATGCCCCTGTTCTGTTACATTTGAAGGTGAGAGAATATGTGATACAATATGACACCAATAAAGTCCTATTACCGAGATAGTACATAAAAAAAAAAATCAGTCTAAAAACTATTTGGAAAATTTAGGTCTTGCTGTATGGGGTGTCAAAGTTTTGCTGTTATTAAGATGCCTGATATATTAAATGATGTCCCCACTTAAGAAAATGAGGGCCTTCCCCTGTAGCAAATTTAAAGGATAAATTAAAATTAAAATAAAAAGAAATAAGGAAAAAAAATAAGGGCCTCCGTGGTTTAGTTTTCTGAGAACAAATTTATGTTCTTACAAGAATTGGAAAAATAGAAAAATATTTGAAATTCATTTAGGTTGACAGTTTTCTAAAAATTGCACACTAAAAATTTTAAAAAAAAAAAGGAGGCTCATTTCTTAATCTGAATACAATTCTGATCTAGAGTTCTCGAAAACTATTTTCGAAGAACTGAACCAAGCAAGCCCTGACCTTGAATGTTACAATTCACAACGGACCCATTCAGTTCTCAAGCATTCTAATTTCAAACAAGTATGATATTTCTGTACGAAAATAATGCTTGTCATATGAATTCTAGATCCAAAGAATTCTAATCATACGAGGAGTTAAACACCAAAACCCAATTACTATTACTGTACATTAATTGTGCAGTTTCAGCCAATCAGAAAATAAAATTATTGTTATTATTTCTCTTTTTGTGGGTCCAATAGCTGCCCTACGAACAGGGCAGCTCTCCCCTACCTAAACCCCAGCTCAAACAAAAGGAGGATTCAATTTTCAGCTCTTTGATTCAACTACCTGGAGACTTACATAACATGTACTAGGTTCAGTCTATCCATGACATGTGAGGTTAGGCTAGGGTTATCCCAGACCAATTTACTTGAGCAGCAGATGTATTGAAAACTTAAAATTACAAACTTTTATCCGCCACAAATACATAACACGCAAATAGTTGTGGGGCTGGAAATGAAACAGAAATTTCGCCAATCTACAAATGAAAATATATATATATATATATATATATATATATATATATATATATATATATATATATATATATATTTTTCACGCTTATAAATGCATAAACGACCATTATTACCAGAATATATTTGAGGTTAGTGGTGCTAATATCATCCTTCGTCTCATTGGTGGAAAACAACCCTAATTTGCTTATCATATTGTCGCAGTGTTGCAAAGCTTCGCATCCCTTTTTCACAGTCTCCTGAAAAACCCACCAAAAAAACCCAAATGAAATCATCTGACATATGTAAATATATATGTGTGTGTGTATACATATGGGATGAAATTACATGATCAACGGCAGATTCGGATGCCAATGAATGAATCTTTCGAGCCTGTTCGAACAGAGCAGGCAGAGACATCTCTTCCATCTTCAATTCACCCATTGGTGATCTCACCGGAATGAAAACCCTAGAAATCAATAAAGGGTTTAGAAAGAAGCTACTAATAAATCTCTCGAATCTGAAACTATGAACTGAGAACGGTTCGCGAAGAAGAGGCTAGATTGATTGCGTCGTTGGCCTCAAGCGAATGTTAGTGTTGGCCGGGTTAAGAGAGGACACGTTAACATATACAAAACTCCGCTAGACCGACTTAAATTTGATATGCAGTCAATTTGACTTAGTCGGCCTATGTGTTCGGTTGAACAGTTCGGCCCAAAAACCATTATTCTTTGACTTAGTTTGTTACAATCAAATTGACGGTTTAGTTGCATCAAGTATATTGTACTGATTCCAAAATAACTGTTCGCGAAGAAGAGGTGAGATTGATTGCATCGTTGGCCTCGAGCGTGTGTTAGTGTTGGTTCGGGTTAAGAGAGCACACATTAACAAATACAAAACTCCCCTAAATCGACTTAAATTTCATATGCAGTCGTTCAACACTTTCGCCCAAAAATCATTATTCTTTGACTTAATTTGTTACTATCAAATTGACAGTTTAGTTGCATCAAGTATAGAAAAAAATTAAAAATAATAAACCCAAATCTTACAAACACAAACCCAAATCTTATCCTTCGACTTCGAGCCTTGGAGGAGCGACAGCCGACAGGAGCCCTAGAACAGAGATAGTTTTTTCATTTTTTTTCTTGATTCGAAAAATATAAAAATGGGTAAAAAAAATTCAGTGGCTAAAAGACAGCCAAACTGAACAAAATTGGGCCCATAAACCCAAACGTTTAATTTCTATTATGGGCCCAACCATTTTTTATTTCTGTATCAGTATTCTTTTCTGTAGGATTAACTTTTTTTTGGGCCAAATTTTGAGGCCCAGGGCTTGCCCTGAACATACCCCACAATAGCACACACAAAGCATTCGAAATGATAGTACGTAGTATATGTTAACAAGCGAACCAAACACTATTTCAAACCCGTCCTGCAAATAAAAGCTCTTTCCAAACGCAGCCCGCCATGTGGATTTGGACCCCTCAGTATATATATATATTTTTAAAAAATAATTCAAACTCCAACAAATTTAAAATTAATTTTGTAAAAAAATAAATACGTATAGACAAATACTACTTAACAATAACAAAAAAGCTAATAAAATTTAAAATTATCATAAAAATTGAAGGAAAAAAAAAAACTATAACTAATAAAATAATGTTCATTTTTATATGGACCAATTGTAAAAATAAAAAAATAAAAAAACCATTTAATTATAACCATTTACACTAAACCCCTTTTAAAAAAATTAGCAAAAAACCCCTTCCAACTAACCTTGGGGTGATTTTAACTAACACTCCATTTAAGAAATAAATAGACGCTATTACAAAAATACTCACCACCAGCTCAGGTGGTTATATTTTTCCGTTGATATAGAGAATCATATAAGAAATTACACTCAAATGGTTGGTTGTGGACTTGTGGAGACACAAGAGCAAGAGTAAAAATTAATCATTGAGGAATTTCATTTATAATTAAGTACACAATAAATATTTCTAAATAAATTATGTTATTGATTCAATTAGCATATTTTAAGAATATTTTCCCTGCCATCAAAACATTATGACCAATATCAAAAGCAAAAATTAATTAGTTTTCTTTTTCTTTTTTTCTTGGAAAGTAAAAAATTAATTAGTTGACCTCGTAGAAAATACAGAACTCATCAAACAAGGGGACCAAAGCTAAGTCTGAGAAAAATATAATGTCAGAAGAATTCAATATTTTCTATTATGTGCAATGAACATATATATACATCATCATATCCCTTGATCCGAGGGATTGACAATGAATTCCCTTGATATGAGGGATTAACAGTAAATACAATTGCCATAATATATATTAGGAAATCAATAATGGAGGAATATTATGTGGTGATTTGATCTTTCTTAACACTCCCCTTCAAGTTAGAGTGTATATTCATAACACCTAACTTGCAAAGTAAATGATGAAATTGTTTGGACCCGAGTGCTTTAGTAAAGAGATCAGCAGGTTGTTGGGTTGTAGGCACATGAGCTGTTTGAACGACACCAGCCTGAAGTTTTTCCCGAACAAGATGACAATCAATTTCTACATGCTTTGTGAGTTCATGGAAAACGGGATTTGCAGCTATATGCAAGGCTGCCTTATTATCGCAATGCAACATGGCTGGTTGTGAGTGCTCCACTTAACCATAGGATTTCACAACAAGTCGTTGCCATAGACCAGTACTCTAACTCAGCCGAAAATCGCGAAACTGTTGTTTGCTTCTTTGTCTTCCAAGAAACAGGTGATTTACCAAGAAATATGCAATATCCAGTAACTGATCTTCGAGTATCTCTACAACGCGTCCAATCAGCATCACAAAATGCCCTTAATTGGCTAGGGCTAATCGCTGATAAGAAAATTCCTTGACCTGGTGTTCGTTTGACATACCTTAACACTCGATGTGCAGCATCTAGGTGTGGTATGCGTGGCTCGGCCATAAATTGACTTAATACATGTATTGCATACACCAAATCGGGGCGTGTGATCGTTAAGTAAATCAACCTTCCAATAAGTTAGCGATATGTAGAGGGATTGTCTAACAATTTTCCATCAGAGTCATTGAGTTTCAAATTTTGCTCCATAGGAAATTCTACTGGTCTTGCACCTAAAAGGCCAGTATCTTCAAGAATTTCAAGTGCATACTTTCTTTGAGAGAGATGAATTCCCTTTTTCGAACGGGCAACCTCAATGCCTAAGAAATATTTTAAATTGCCAAGATCCTTAAGTTTGAAGCGATTACTTAAGAATCTCTTAAGTTCTTGAATTTGCTCCAAGTCATTTCCTACCAATATCACATCATCTACATAGACAAGAACAACAGTAAAACTATTTTCCTTGAATCGGACGAACAACGAATAATCTGCCATTGACTGTATATAGCGGGCATCACCAAGTGCTTCAAAAAATTTTACAAACCATTCTCTGGATGCTTGTTTAAGACCGTACAAGGACTTGTTGAGTTTGTTTACTTTTGTCTCCCCTTTTCGCCCAAATCCAGGAGGTAGTGTCATATAAACATCCTCGTTAAAGTCACCATGTAAAAATGCATTGTTTACATCCAGATGGTGAAGGTGTCATCCTTGAATGGCAGCTAGAGAAAGTAAGATATGCATGGTGACTAACATGGCAACAGGAGCGAAAGTTTCCCCATAGTCAAGACCTTTTATTTGGTTGTAACCTTTCGCAACCAACCTCGCTTTATATCTTTCCATTGAACCGTCAGAGTTGTATTTTATTTTGTAAACCCATTTGTACCCAATAGGTTTCTTCTGAGGTGGTAGTGGAGTTAATGTCCAAGTGTTATTTATTTCAAGAGCTTCGAGCTCAAAGCGCATAGCGTCTCTCCACTTGGGGTCTTGAATAGCCTGCAAAAATGTCTTAGGTTCTGTTTCAAGATAAATAGAAGTGGTGAAAGCATGGTGAGAATGAGATAAATGTTCATATGAGAGAAAATTGCACAATGAGTGAGAAGTTCTATTAAAATTTACCATTGCCAAGTCTGATGACTGAGTTGGTCAAGACGAGAGACCAAAGCCAAGATGAAAATCTTGTAAGTAACCAGGGGGCTTGGTGATCCGCATGGATTTGCGAAAAACTTGTGATTGTTGAGGAGAAGATGATGGATTAGATGACGGAGAAATTGAATTTGGGACTGTAGGTTGTATTGAGCTAGGTGGAGGAGATGGTGTGGAACTAGGTAGAGATGAGTCAGGTATAGGATTAGAAGGTGGATGATAGGTTGACACATTTTCATCTGGAGCATCAAATGGACAAGGTAAAATGAGGTACCGAGGTGACTCGCTGGATTGAGCAAATGAAAATTGTTCTTCATGGAAAATCACATCACGAGAAGTAAATACTTGGTGGCTATCAATATCATATACTCTATACCCCTTTTGCCCATAAGGATATCCAAGAAAAATACACCCTTTAGCACGCACATCAAATTTGGATGGTTTTTGTGCATGGGTGGAAGCAAAGCATAAACATCCAAAGACTTTCAAATGAGTATATGATGGCTTAATTTTAAATAACATCTCATATGGTGACTTACCGGACAAAATAGGTGTAGGTGTTCTATTGATCAAGTAGGTGGCTGTTAGAATAGCATCTCCCCAAAAACGTTTAGGTAAGCCAACTTGAAATAATAAAGCACGTGCTACATTTAAAAGATGACGATGTTTGCGCTCTACTACTCCATTTTGTTGTGGAGTGGACACGCAACTGTGTTGATAAAAAATTCCTTTTTTCTGCATAATAAGAAAGCATGCTAAATTCTTGTCCATTATCACTCCGTATGGTTTGAACTTTGGAAGAAAATTGGGTTTCAACAAGTTGAAGAAAAGACTTTAAGAGATGACGGGTTTCAGACTTGTGATACATCAAATAAACCCATGTACATCGAGTATGGTCATCCACTATGGTAAGAAAATAACGAGCCCCTGAGATTGAGGGTGTTCGGTACCCTCCCCAAATATCAACATGTAATAATTCAAAAGAATTTTTGGTTGAGATAAAGCTTAAAGGAAATTTAAGTCTTGTCTGCTTTGCTAAAGGACAAATGGAACAAAATTCAACATCACAGGTTTTAATTTCAGAAACATTATTTGAAAGCAAATGCAAAGCTTTATTAGATAGATGCCCCGAACGACGATGCCATAATTGAGAAGATAAGGAGTTGGCTGACTGGCACATGGCTCCCCCTGGGGTTACTAAAAAGTATAGGCCATCCCGCTCAGATCCCATCCCAATCATCTTCCTCAAGCGTTGGTCCTGTATTGTGCAAGAATCAAAGGAAAATGTTATTGAACAATTTGAGTTTTTGGAAAGTTTACTAACTAAAATCAAATTAAAATGGAAGGATGGAACACACATAACATTTGTCAATGTTAAATGAGGAGAAAAAATGATGGAACCAATATGTGTTACTGGAGCTAGGGTCCCATTAGGTAATTTAACAGTTTGGCCTCTTACTGGAGAAGAAGAAGTAAAACAAGTTTGGGAGCGGACCATATAGTCTGTTGCTCCACTATCGAGAATTCATGGAGTTTGTTCAAGAGATGAAGTGAGACAAAGTGATTTACCTGACAGATTGGACATTGTGGATGTGTTACCTACATGATGTGCCATAGGAGTTGTTTTATTGGAATTGTTGAGAAGAGTAAGGAGTTGTTGGCATTGTTCTGGGGTGAAAGGAACTCCACTTGATAGCTCTTGCCTTGCAACTGATGAGATTTGATTGGCAGTAGCTTTGAAATTTTCTTTGTGGAGTCGGTGGCCCGGAGGATATCCATGAAGCTTAAAACATTTCTCCATTGTATGACCCACCCATCCACAATGATCACACTTTGGACGTTCTTTGCCTGCTTTCTTCTTTCCAAAGTTTGTATAATCATATTTTTCTCGACCACCAAAGTTTCCTCTCGTTGTAAGAGCGGCTGCTTCTGGGATTGTAGGTTTGTGAGAAGACACTTGTCGTTGTCATTTTTCTTGAAACACCAAAGAGTATGCTCGGTTAACAGAGGGTAATGGATCAATTAAAAGAATCTGTCCACGAATCGCATGGTATGAGTCATTGAGACCCATAAGGAACTTCATGGTTTTTTGACGTTGTTGATATTGTTGGATCTCCTTCATGGCACCACAAGAGCATGCTGGAAGGGGGCATAAAGCAGATAGTTCATCCCAAAGCCCCTTCAATTTGGTAAAATAAGTCACCACAGACATGGTGTCTTGAAGCAGTTCATGAATACTTCACTCAATCTGGAACACATGGGGAGTATTGACCTATGAAAAACGTTCCTTCAGGTCTGCCCAAATGTCATATGCGAGATCACTGTAGATCACACTTTGATATATATCTGGTGAAAGAGAACTAAGCAACCATGATTTCACCATATTGTTACAGCGAATCCATTATTGTAACTCAGCTACCGAAGAGTCACTCGGCTTTGGGATAGATTTGTCAATGAAACCGATCTTATTCTTAGCACTCAAAGCCATAACCATAGCACGACTCCACGTACTATAATTGCCTTCGGTTAAGGGTTGAGTTACTAAGACTACTCCTGGATGGTCAGAGTGATGAAGATACAAAGGATTATTTGGATCTTCATGCTTAGATCCAATCGATGTATTCTCCTTCATTGCCATGGATGATTCTGTCATGGCTTGTTGATTCTCTTGTCGGAATAGACAAAAGAGCAGCGGAATCAGTAGGGGTTTGCCGAAATGAGCAAACGATGTAGATTACCAAGAGCGTTTAAGCTCTGATACCATGAGAAAAATATAATGTCAGAAGAATTCAATATTTTCTATTATGTGCAATGAACATATATATACATCATCATATCCCTTGATCCGAGGGATTGACAGTAAATTCCCTTGATACGAAGGATTAACAGTAAATACAATTGGTATAATACATATTAGGAAATCAATAATGGAGGAATATTATGTGGTGATTTGATCTTTCTTAACAAAGTCACATTAAACGGGAGTGAGAGCGGCAAAGTTTAAAATTAAGTGAGAGCGGGAGCGCCGTAAGAGCGTCTGTACATTTATTAATATATACTATTCTAATTAATGTATTAAAAATTTTATTCATCAATTGGTATAATATATATTAGGAAATCAATAATGGAGTAATATTATATGGTGATTTGATCTTTCTTAACAAAGTCACGTAAAACGGAAGTGAGAGCGGCAAAGTTTAAAATTAAGTGAGAGCGGGAGCGCCGTTAGAGCGTCTGTACATTTATTAATATATACTATTCTAATTAATGTATTAAAAATTTTATTCATTAAATTTTTTTTTTTTTTTTTTTTGACTTTTGTAATATAAAGTTATTTAAAATTAATCAGTTATTTATTTATTATTTTGTTCTATTAAGTAAATCTAAGAAGTAGTTATATATTTTAATGGTGGAAAATGAAACACAACCAAAAGTTGGCATTCTGGTAGACTTTCTTCTTTAGTCTCCACACTATCATGCTCACAAGATGACAAAAAGTTTGATTGGTCAAAATCAAGCCCATTTGGCACAGTCCAATAATCATTGTTGTGCTCACAAGAGGCAAATCCGACCCATCTGACCCAATCCGCGGATTACAAAATAGATTCGCGAACTCAAATTTTGAGTACGCAAATCCGCATGCGGAGCTGGATTCATCGACCGTTTCCACGAATCATGTGACTTAGGACCAAAGTTCTATAAGGAAGCCCATAGGCGACATGGACACGAGAGTTGGTGGGTGTTTTAGTAATAATATTTATTTACTAAAGGGGATGTCAGTTAAAAAAAACCCAAAGTTAGTTCGAGGGAGTTTTTTGTACAAAAAATTCTGAAGGGGCTTATTGCAAATGCTTACAATTTAAGAGGAGTTTTTTGCAATTATATTTATTATTAATCACGACAGATTGAGGGAATGACAAGTTTTAAACTATTATCCCAAACTCTCCACTAATCCAATTAGGATCATTCAATAGAAATGGGATGGAGAAAAGGCCTAGAGAAACGTATTAAATTGATATGTCTACCAATAAATCAATAATATTATACACTCATCACATTTTGAAAAACCAAAGTAAATTGTTTCTCACTTTTATGAAAATTGAAAATATATTAAGAGTAGCATATACGGACTGGTCTCATCAAGTCTCAATTCTTACCCGCTGCATCCATGTCCATCATGGTGGACTCTCTTACTCAATTTTGAAACAATTTAGTCCAATGAGTATTAGTTCAGATAAATTATCGTATACTTCAAAATTACATGGTCCTTGTTAATCAAAAGCTGAAATGTAAATAAATATATCAACTTTATTAATTTTTTGTTCACATAATATTAAAAAGAGATTGATTTAACTGTTTAATTTGATGCTCGATCCATTGAAGAATATTGAAGCATCCCTCCTTGTTTTGTAATTTTCTATCCTCTGAAAATTGGGAGAGAGAGAAAAAATTGATAGTTGCCACAAATATTTAATTTTAGTTTCTAACAAATATTTAATGGTATTAAAAATGATTAGATCAATCTTATTTGAGCCGAAAAGAAAGAGAGGAGAGTAAATGGAACAGCTTTATAAAATTGTGGATAATGAAAAGCTTATGCAATATTTGAAAGTGCCGAATCTACGTCTTAGAATTGAAATTATAATTGAAGAAAATTTAGTTCGAACTTTTAATTAAATTTTTTCTAATTTTAAATTCATACCATCCAATCGGTACTTCTAACTACAACATTAACAAAAGTTTGAAGATCCAGAGACACAAATTGGAACATATTAGTTAGGTCCGGGAGGCAAGTCTGATTCTTCTTCATTAAGCAAGAATTAAATCCTTAAACAAACATTCAGAGTTTCGAAAATTAAGAATAATAGATAACTCATTAAGTGTCATCATCTTGTGAAGTTGAGTTTTTATTTTTGTTGATCTAAAATGCAATCCCAATTGTTTTCATATTATCATTTTTGGCATATTTTTCACAGCCATCATAATTATAATAAGAATAATAATAGAGAGATCGAAGAATTGACCCCGAATAAGTACCGAATCTGACGTGTTTTTGTCCATTTTATCCACCTAAACAGTTTTTAAAAAATAATTGTTTAACACGTCATAAGAATGGCCAATCACGTCAAATTCAATGTTAATTCGAGAATTTTTTTTCGATTTTTCTATCATTATTCTTATAATAATAATAATAATAAAAGTCCACTAAAATAATATTAAAGTATATGTATAGCAAAATTTGTTTGGGTCAACACAGCACGGGTAGATGGTTTGGTGAAAAAGACATAGAATAGTCAGAAGCAGCAGCAACTTGAATATGTTAGATGAGGAAGATTATTGATGTTACTTGCTCTCATTTATGCAGTGACCTGTCTCTTCAAATATAATTAACATTTGATGTCCCCTCCTTTTGTTACACATTTTAAAGTTAGTTATGTTAGGTATGCATTTAATGTCTACGTGGCAATTTTCATGGTGTCATAAATTTTGAAAAAAAAATATAGCCACAAATCTTATTCTAATTAAACTCTTGGTTTAAGTAATTCCACTTGGGTAGGTGACATGAGTTAGAAAATGATTCAATGCAAATTAAAATTTTATGAAGTCTTAGGTCCATCGTAAAGGTTTGGTGGTCCCCAAATGAGGAGGTGGTTCAACAAATATGTCATGTTGACTCCTAGTTTTGGACTGCATATGGATCATCTTTAGTTATTTGTTAATAGAAAACATAAATTTTGATAATTATAAAAATACAAACTCTTACAAAATTCATGAAATACCTCAGGTAAAATTTTCAAAATTCAGAAGGATCCCTACTTTTCTAACTCATTTGTTCAACAAAATTTTCAAAACTTATAATTTAGAAAAAAATTAATGTCTTTTTACCTTTACGCAGGTAATGCAAAAATTTTAAGAATCAAAGTTCAGAAAAATACCCCACCTTTTCTGTTCATTATTACTTTGGTTCAAAACTTTTTTCTCATATTATTACTAAATTTTAGGCTTTGTCACTGGGTGTTGTAGTAGTATCGAATACTCGGACACACGTTAGACTCGGACACATGTTAGACTTGCAGACACGGACTAGGGGCAAGTGTCGGATACAGTTAGGGATGAACCTGAAAAAATATGTCAGGGGAGGGGGGGTTAAATAAAAAAAAATTCAGCAGGGAAAATTGCCGCCACTAAATTTACTCATGGGTTTGTGCGTGGATAGGTTAGAAATATCCTGAAATTCGAATATTTTATTTTTTAGTTGGACATGATATGGACATATTTTTTGGACACTTTGAGGACTTGTGGAGTGATTTTATAATGATTTTTTTTAGAAGAATGAGATTAATTGCAATTTAAAATATATTATGGATTAATTGAAAAGTAGCATAAAATTTAAGGAAACAAAATAACAAACATTTAGCTCTAAGATCCAAATTAGTAATTTTATTCATGATTATATAGATAAAATGACCAAAAATTATTATTACATATATACAATTATATATTATTTTATTATTATTTGACGCATTTAGGCCATTTTCATGTCCTATTTTTTAAAATTTATTGTATCGTCGTATTCAATTCGTATAGTGTGGTATCCATATCCGTACTTCAACTTTTCTATACGTAATTAGCCACTAACATGCTGTTGAACTGAAAAATAATAATAATAATAAATAAATAAATAAAATAGAAGAAAAGAAAAGAGAAAATGGAACATGTACTTATTCGGAAATGAAATGAGATACAAACAGGAACAAAGCCAATCAAGGACATGTGTAAATTTCTTACCAAGGTAAAAAAAATAAAATAAAATAAAAAAACAAACAAAACACAACAGCAATTACTCTTTACAAAAATTTGAAGAACATGAACAATTAAGGTCAAGCAAGAGTGGCCAGAGACATAATCTTCGTGGATTTGGCCTTGAAACAGGCCTGCCAGAGCTTCTTGATGTGGATATTCACTTTTATAAGTACATAATCACATATATGTGTGTGTAATTTATGCTCATTTCAATTGAGATATACGCCATTCAATCACTCCCAAATTATATGTATTTTTAACTAATCCTTACAAAGATTATTTCTAAAATTATTCATATACTTAGGTTATTAATTACTATTCAATCACACAGCAATAAGGTAAAAAGTCCAAGAAACAAGTGCGATAAGAAGAAATTCATGAAATTGTCATCTTATTCGGTCAAGAATTTTTTTATTCATCAAAAGAGTAATTTTAAGGAAAATGTATACTTTATGAATTTTTATTTGCGATTTTATCTTGAATCAGGTGGACTGCTTATTTGAGAGTTTTATTTGGCTATTTTGTGTATTTTAAATGTAATTTTTTAATAAAGGAAAGATCATAATATAGGAAAAATAGCAAAACTATGACTACGAAATTCAAATTCTAATATAACTTAATAACTTGAATACAATTCTAACAGATCGTTTGGGCAGATAGAGAGAGAGAGAAACTAGTGCTTTTCTTTTCTTTTTCTTCAACGAATAATTGGTTTAGTTTTGTTAAAATAGAAAACATAAATGCATAAAAAAATAAAGTGTAATATGTATTAAAATATAGAACAATAATGTCTTTTTAAATATCGCCATATTAAATTTAATATTACATCTTCAATTTTAATTTGAGATATATATAGCACTGCTCTAATTTTAATATTTTTGTCCATCAATTTTACATTTTTGGCCAAATTTGATCAAATTAGAATTTTTCAAATTTTTCAAACATTTTGTCAAAATTCCCCGAATTTTTCTAAAATATCTGTAACTTCGATACTGCTCGCTAGAATTTACAAAGTACAAATTTAAACCCCCACCCCAAATTTTTAAATTTTTTTATCGAGCTCTGTGAATCAAATAAGTGGGACCCATCCATAGTCTAATTTTGCCGAGGACCCCACTATACGAGTTGATGAGTGAAGAGAGAGAGAGAGAGAGTGTGTTGTTTGGGTTCCGGATTCCCTAACAGCTGCGTACCGACGTCCTCTGCTCTCTCTCTCTCTCTCTCTCTCTTTCTCTCTGTCTGTATATATATATTTGCAATTTCTGGGCTTCTCATCCTCAAATAATCCCAAAACTGCCGTTGTCGTTTTATATTGGTTCAGTCGAAATCTGATTACACATACCTACAATAATCTCTGTGGATGAGTGGTCCCGTATATGCCCATTTTGTTCCCCTTCACCAACTGGGTTTCTGTATTTGATCAGCAAAGATGATTATTTGAATGAGTGCTCTTCTGGGTTTATAGCTTAAGCAGCAGAGTACCAGGTTAGGCTCTCTTCACTACCTCACTGGTCCACGTTTTTCTGTTTGGTTGCTGAAAAAGTGTAGCAACAGAGTATAGGTTTTAATTTTCGAAAAAAAAAAAAAAACAGAGTATAGGTTTAGCAAAAATATGGCAAACTTGAGGTGTTCTTTTCATACTTTGAAAATCACAAATTAATTTCCTTCTTGTTCTCAGGAATCAAATTACTACAACTTTTGATGTTTTTAAGGATAGATAGAATGTCACTTTGATTTATATTTGGGATATTCCTTTCTGCAAACAGTCTGAGTGTTTTGGTGAAGATTGAGACAAAATGGGCTTTTTGAAATAGTTGTTGAGGTATTAAAATACTAGCTTTTTAGTTAATTATTAGTATTTTATTTCATGGGTACTTTGCAGAAGTATGATGAGGGCACTATTGTGGGTTACTCTTTTGATTTTCTTATTTTGTCTGTCTTCATTGGTTGCTTTTCTACTTTACAAATCTTGGTTTTAAGTTGTAACATGAGTCTCTCTCTCTCACACACAAACACACACAGGGCTGAAATGGGTTTACAGTTTTTGGTTCAAATAGGTTTGTTGGTTGTAACATAAGTCTCTCTCTCACACACAGACAAACACAGAGAGATGAAATGGGATTTCAGTTTTGGGTTCAAAGATTGAAAACCTATTTGATTTTTCTGATTTATAAAACAACATATTACATTCCGTTATGTGAATGACTCTAATTTGTCTACTCTTTGTTTTGCTTTTCTTTTTCCATTTTTGGCCCACAATGATTATAGCAGGATAAGGATTTCTTAGTTACTGTTCTCCTTCATGGAGACCATAGCTTCATCTGGTTCACTGCCCATTCCTCAAGAACCAGCTGATTATGATGATGTTTCTATGCAGCAGAGTTTGCTCTTCTCTGATAGTCTCAAGGTATTCCCTTTCTCACTTCCTTAAATTTCAATTCCTATTTTTAGGTTTGCAAAATCAGTAGCTGTTATATTCCATTTTCGGTAGATTTTTACGGGCGGCTATTGCAGTCTTCCTGAACATATCAAATTTCAGTATCTAGCTTACCTACTAATAAAGTTAAGATGGAGAATTTGAACAGTTGCTCTTGAGGACAGCAATTATTTATGAAGACAGTATTTCCACTGTGTTGATTATAAAATTGCAGCCGGAAAGAGTTTTCTATTGGGTTAAATTTTTGGTAGAGATGCTATCTGTATAAGAAAAGCTCCTTGGTCTATTGTTCAAAGAGTTGAGTCCAGTCTAAAGAAAAAGGTACCCTTCAATTATGGATACTAGATTGTGTAGGCTAGGAATAGACCTAACTTTTGGCATTATCGGCACAGAAGTTGCTGTCCTAAAATTTGAACACATTTTCTGTGATATTGTGGCCCGAATTTGGTTGCTGGTTGCATTGTTACCCGTTTCGAAATTTGTTAACCAATTGTTCACTTGCAGGTCATGGACCCTATTTTGTACTCTCTCGTAACCCGGTATACAAGGGCACTTAGGGGTGGCCTGGGATGGAGAGAGAATGCTGAAAATCGCATAGAAGTGAGAGTGAGAGCTAGGGTTTGGGGGTTGAAACTTGTAATTTAATGTCTTTTGCATAGTGAAAACTTTCGCCGGATCTTCACCGTGGGCGTAGACAACTTGTGTCGAACCACGCTAAATCTTTGTGTTTTTTGTGTGTGACGTGTTTACTTTTCTGTCTTAATTCTTGATTTGTTCTTAGTTCGCTGCGTTTGTCGTAACAAGTTCTTCTTTGGCTGAACTTTTATCACTATGCCAACCTAAGATAGAATCGCCTAGTTTTCAGTGTTTACAGTGATTGGGGCAGTTTCACATTCATCTTTCTTATTTACCCATTGCTCAGATCACTCTCAACTACTTTTGCCGTTTAGGTTACCCATCCATGCATGTAGTATGTACCATGTATGCCTTTTATTTTGTTAGTAATGCAACTTGGCATAAGACTCATGCCACATGTTCTTTTTATTGCGTAGCAAATATTCAAAGATTTTGCAGTTGTGCTTCCTAGCTTTAATTTTATCTTCTCATTGAACTTCTTTATGCAGGATTTGAAGAGTCTGAGAACACAGCTCTACTCGGCAGCTGAGTATTTTGAATTGTCCTACACCTATGATGACCAAAAACAGATGTGAGCTACTCTGATTCATTAGAATACTGATTGTTTATAGATGTGGATTTATTATTTTCCATCCATCTCAGTTGTTTGATTTTCTTTTTTATCCTCAAATATTCTGATGAATACAGAGTGTTAGATACATTGAAGGATTATGCCATTAAAGCCCTCGTGAATACTGTAGACCATTTGGGCTCTGTCACATCTGAGGTTAATGACCAATTAGATGAAAAGGTTGATGAAGTTTCTGGTACAGAGCTTCGGGTATCTTGCATTAAACAGGTGCTCTTCTGCTGCTTGGTGTGACATTTATGGTTTTAGTTTTTTTTTTTTTTTTTTTCAAGAAATATTGCTTAGAAAAATTCATTTTGGAGAATTGATAATGAGATGAACAAATTAATGTGGGTGTAGTAAACAAAGATATGGTAAATTTTGGGTGCTGAGAGCGTTGGGTAGGATGAGAAGCTCTTTTCGTCTAGACACCTTCATGTCCTTAGGTCAAAATTTACCATATCCCTAGACAGAATGGTGGCAGAAGGATTAATGTAGTTAAAACATCCCAAGTGTCAGACAAGGCATTGTTGAGTTGTGATATGGCCCTCGATAAGTTATATATCTATCTACTTTGGAAAATTGAACATTCTTGACAATCATAAAAGCTGAACACTTGGAATGATGAACATGAAAATGATGGTTTGTCTTGAAATATGTAGCTTTAGACCCAATGATAGAGCCAAAAAATTACTCTAGAGGGGGGAGACTTTTGATTTGGTAAAAGGTAAATAATAAATCACACAATATTTAAAATGAAATGGTTGAATAATATTTATTCGGGACACATTCAATGTTGAGATTGCATTTTAATAATCAACTAAGCGTCTGTAATTGTTCCAGAATAAACGGAAAAAACAGATATGGTAGAGCTGGGATGGTTTTGTATGAGGTCTATCTTGAGCTAGATGTAGAGGTGCATAATTAGGGGAGGTTTGATATTTGCTCTTTTTATAGAGTTCTTGCAGATTAGGAAATCACCCCATTTTTCATGCCTTTTCATTTCCCTTATCATCCTTCCAAAAGGAATAGAGTCGATTCTTTTACCTCCTAATACTTCACTGTGAGAGCCTTAATAATATTGGATCTGTGTTATGGCTTCAAGTTTTAATTTCTAGATAATTATAAAGTGGAATGGACTTGGCCTTTTTAATTTATTTTTGGACTGGATACCCAAAAACTATAATCATGAAAAAGTTTAAATAAATTTTGGATATTTCTAGAGGGCCAACTTTAAAACTATCAGAAAATATATATGCAGGAAAAATATATATATATATATATATATATATATATTTAGCAGGGGCAGCTGCCCCAGTAAACCCTTCTTGGATCCATCCTTGTAATAGAGGATTTATAGTTTTCTCATGATTAAATAGCGAGAGGACCTTTTTTTTTTTCGGTCGACGATGGTGGTGAAAATAAGGATAAGGTGGAGATGCATGGTAGAGAAGATTTTTGTTTTTTTTTTTTGTTTTTGTTTGTGCGCACAAATTTTGGCTAGATAATGTCAGATAGGATAGCTGAAAGTTCCCAATCGTTCATGAGTTTAATTTGTGAGCGATATTTTTTGCAACCAAGGGAAGTCTTTTCTTTGGGGAATACTTTGGTCTAACACTAAGACAAATTATAATTAATATCCTACTTGTTGTCTTACTTGAAAATAGGAACAAAAGTGGGCTACTGAATACTTAGTGCTGAGGAAAACATAATCTTAGTGTAGATAGCACCATGAAATATATAAAAATAGGCATGGAAAAAACACTAGGAGTAAGAAAACACAAGGATTTCCATGGTTTCAACCGAGTAACTATATTTGCTGGTTTGAACAACCAATGTGAGTTTTTGATGTGCAAGCTCACCCTGTATCGTGAATGGCTGAAAGCTCACTTGGACTAAATCCAGTGTCAACTTTCGGCATAGCAAAACCCTATTTTTTTGATTCAGCAGGGAACATGAGAAAACTCTCCCACTTGCACATTCTAAAATATAGGGTAACCATGACAGTGCAGATAAAATATTAGTCAAAATTTGACCTAAAAATTAACGCAATATTGAGCAGCATGTATGCACATAATACTTGGTGGGAGAACATCACCTTCATTCTACCCAAACACTTCTATTTAAGGATATGTATGATCACATTGAATTAAAAAACCAGCTGAATGACCGGTATGCCTTTCTCCTAGTGGCTCTGGGTCTTACCTCTCAAGTTCTAGGTCAAGGTTTCGATACCGGTGGAGAGAAGAAAGAAAAATAAAAAAACCAGCCGCATCTATGACTATGCTTTTTGTTCTGAAGGAAGGAATCAATATTTTGTATAAATATTTACCCTCGTCATTCCTTTAATGTTATATCGCAGAGACTACGGACATGCCAAGAGTACATTGATCAGGGGGGGCTCTCCCAGCAGTCACTGATGATAAATACTCCCAAGTACAATAAGAGATACATATTGCCAGGCAATTACACTTTATTCTCTCCATTTTTCATGAATTTCCCATTTAACGTTTTTCTTTTTCCTTTATTTTTTCTATGAATTTATTTCTTTGGAGTTATGGAGATAAGATGTTTGAAAGAGGTTCAATTTTCCAAATTTCAGGATTAGACAGGGAGACCATGCATGGGGCATCTCATACTAAAGTAAAACATCAAGGATGCAGCCTGGATGATAAAGAAGACGGGCACCAATTTAGGAATGGTAGCTTTCTTCTTCTTCTTCTATCTCCTTCTTTGCATTGTTTTTGTTTCCTTGAGCTTTATTTTGCTGTCACATGATAACATTTATTAGCTGGTTGTTTCTCCATAGCAGTTCAAACTACAAAAAGAGAAATCCCATCTGCTTCAGTCAGGTAAATTCTCATGCCATATTTTGAAATACATCATTTTGGTACCACCATATAACTATCTACATTACCAGAATCATGTATATATCATGTTACAGTCCATGCAGAAAAGGGCGCTCCCCATCGCCTTCTCCACGACCTTTGCAGCAACCTGCAACTTTTTCGTTCACTGCCACCAAGCCAAAAAAAGAACAAGGCGCGTTCATTTGAATTTTACATTATAGACTTGGTTTTCCTTCTCCTTTTCTCATCTATTTTATTTTATATATTTCTTACTGATGTTCCATTGACATGCATGTAGCAGAGAAGCGAGCAGTTTCACCAACTCGATTTCCTCTTTTAGATCTTGGATCTCTCTCTTCTAGGCCAACCACCCCAAATTCAAAGATGACCGTTCAAAATTCAAGTCGGCGAGCAACTACTCCAAATCGAAGGCTGCCCTTCCCAAATTCAAGTTGGCCAACCGCTCAAAACCCTGCTTCTGCTAGACCAAGGGTAAGCAGAGGATAACTCTATTTATTTATAAAAATGTTTTCTTATCAGCAGAGGGAAAAGTTAACCGTTTGATATACCAATTAAACAACATTCTCCCATCAGTAGTATATCAGTAGTTCTTTTTTTTGTAGAATTCATAATTTCTTCTTCCTTTTTTTTCCCTAATGTTTGAATATCGTTACATTTTGAACAGCATCTTTCAGAGCCTCGGAATTCAGTTCCACTGCATCTCCATTCCGAGAAGGAAATTCCCAAAGAAACCGAACAATACCCCAGAAAAAGTAATCGCCTCCTCAAGTCCTTGCTCAGTCGGCGAAAATCAAAGGAAGATGAGATGCTGCTATACACTTACTTAGATGAATACTGAATTAAGAGGGGAAAAGAGGTAGAGAAGGGCATGAAAATAGGGTAAATGAATGTTGACTTGCTTTTTCAATTTTCCTTCAAAATCCAATTTGTAACTGTAGCCCTTGTTCCCTTTGACGCGTTAGCCTGCAGTGTTATAGTGTATTTTCAACACATTATAAAGTTAGTGGCAATATATGAGGTATTATTATTCCGGTTATTTTTCACTACCCGAAATTTATCTGAAGCATGATACATTCTTTCAATTAATCTTGACATTTCTTTTTGGATATAAGATGCCATTTTATGTGTGTTTTTTATTTTTTATTATAACTTCTTAACAATATATAAATAGTGAAGTTTGAACATTTGATTCTCATCCACCAGCATATTTAGCCTTCTCCATTTAGGAAATTAAGACGCTGATTGCCTATTTATGTGTATCCACACACACACACACACACACACATGTATATATCTACCTATATCATAACAGTAACCCTAATTCCTTGTGACCCAAGTATTAGTATCCTTGATGGACTAGGATTAATCTATGTATACTCACTATCACTCTTTACTTGGTAGAACTTGACTGCATTCCTGGAGCCCGAATAAGAGGCTAATCAGGGTGAATCCGACGGGACAGAGGACTCATCCGAACGCGAATGAGACTAAGCAAGGGGAACGAATTACATTTTTGGTCATAAATGGAACTTTCCTATATTGGACTTTAACATTCCTTCTCCAATTAGGAATGTTCCTTATTAGAATCTACTATATATAAGGACATGTATAGAACAAATAAGCTTCACAGTTCACATATAGCCACTCTCTGCATAATTCCACTGTTCCTTCTTTTCATCCTCTTCATACCCTCTTTTGAGCTTATCAAACAGAGTATTCATTCTTTTTTTTCTCTCCTGTTATTAATATTTGAGGTCAAAGTCATGTCATTCAACGGAGAGTTGTACGAGATATGGTCATGGTTACCCGCAAAAGCAATCTGTAAGTTCAAATCAGTAAGCAAAACATGCAACGAACTTGCATCCGAAGAGTTGTTCATCAAAAAACAAGTTCAAAACATGGCGGCGAAGGGGGATTCGGGGTTCTTCATTCAGCCAAAATCTTGTCAGGGTTTCAAGGACATAACAGAACTGCATTCCGTCTATGGCGAGGACTCCACGCTCGGCGTGCCTCAGGAGTTCTTTTCACACAACGGTCGGGTTCTAGCATCGAGCAACGGCTTGGTCTGTGGAAGAAATTTGAACAACCGGCAACCGGAATTGTTCATCTGCAATCCGGCCACTCAAACATGGCTTTCCATTCCTGTCCCGGAAAGCTTAAGATCATACACAGATTGTGACCTAAATATCGTGTTCGAATGCAACGATATTGCTCTGCCATCCGAGTTCTCTCACGATAGTTATACGTTGATGGCAATGGACTTGGAGGCACCAGAAGATTTTTCAAACTCCAAGTTCAAAATCTATTCATATAGAGAAGGGACGTGGAAAGAGATGGGACAGATGGTTACCGGGTTTAGAGAGATGGAATTTGACATGCCAGTGTGCTACAACGGCACCATCAACTACATTTCAGATTGTTCTCCTTATTTAAAGAAGGGCAGTTCCTTTTACTGGCCTTATGTAGTGTCATATGACATCCAGAGTGGGAAATCCAAGTTTTTAGCAATACCAAAGAGTGCGAGGAAGGGTGTGCATGACTGGAGCTGCAAACTTTGCATCTTTAAATGGAGAAGCGGGACGAACACTAGTATTTGTTTGATTCAATTGCTTAAGGGAACATTCTCTGCATGGGTGTGGAGTGGTGATTCTGATACAAGCTCGTGGACTCGGATTATGAAAATTAGAGTAGGAGCTATGGGGATGATGGAATCGGATCTTACTGTTGCCGGATTTACAGTAGTGAACGGAAGCTCTCTGCTCATAGCGACGGCACAAAAGGTGTATTCTTATGATTTAAGGGGAGAGAGGCATCAGAGGGCTAAAGAAATATGTCATCACGGATGTAGGGAGAATGTGCTTTTCCAGTCGTACTCTAATACTCTTCGTCCTTGTGGGAATATTGGCGCCACCACATTGTCAATATAATGCTTGCGAATCATTCTTTAATTTGTTTTCTAGGCGATGTAATGGTATGAGCAATTAGCGTAAGATTTTCATGATTTCTAATATGAAGTTCACATTGTAATTCATCTTGATTTTTTAAGCATGTAATGGATTGTCCAGTTGGTTTTTCATATAAAAAGTTCTTACCTGTTTTGGCCAGATCATTATAAAAAAAAAAAAACAAAGAAAAAAAAAAAAAAGAAAAAAATTTCCCTTCTGAATTCATTCATGATTCAAAAAAACAAAGAGTTCACATTGTAATTCATCTTGATTTTTTAAGCATGTAATGGATTGTCCAGTTGGTTTTTCATATAAAAAGTTCTTACCTGTTTTGGCTAGATCATTATTAAAAAAAAAACAAAGAAAAAAAAAAAAAAGAAAAAAATTTCCCTTCTGAATTCATTCATGATTCAAAAAAACAAAGAGTTGATGAAATACAGTAAAATTATAACATAGCCTCTAGAAAAGCAATTGAGCATCTAGATATGAACCAAAAAGCCACGACGCAGCCAGAGCTTAATTTATAAAGGGGGAATATTAGTTCAAATTACAACTCAAATGATGGAGAAACCAGTAATTCCATGAAATTCTACTAAGGATGTCACAATTTTATTCCTTGACCGAATGCTTCAATTGTCTTTGTGGCAAGTGTAAGAACGTCTACAAAAGCGCTAAATGATGCACGAAGAAATCTTGCCTCAACCGCTTCGAAACGCCTGTACCAAAATGAGTGAAGAGATAGAGAAAACAAGAAAATATTAGACCCTTAAAGATCAGAGCAAGATTTTTAATACTAAAACAAAGGCATACAGAAGGCGCTTGCCTCTGGGCAAATAATAGTACCATGGAATTACATGACAACAGTGATTTACGCAGTAATTATATTGTAAATAGGAAGATTAAATAATCAGATTATTATTTTCCTTTCCCATATTTTGAAAATGCCTTTTCCTGCCAAAAATACAAATCAAGAATACAAAATATTTTTTTTTTTCCCTTTAATTACAGACTACAGTATTCTGGTGTGACAATGACAATGACAATGACAAACAAATTTCATTCAGCTAGTGGACTGGTTTGCTGTTAGCAAGTTTCATTCCAAGGCCGATGCCAAAAAAATTCAACAACAGTATGGCACATCAGAACAGAAAGAAACACAAGGTTGCATCAACAGATATCTAAGACAGCTGTGGAGATTGCTAGATCTATTTGGCGGGAGGTTTTGGATACTCAGGGCTGCACACTTCAGGGAAATTATCCACAGCTGATCCTTTCACTTTATTCCTTGCTAGTCTATGTCCTTTTCCTGTTTTTTTGTGACGCATTTGAGTTATGTTCTCTTTATGAAGTTGTAATGCAGAGGAATGTCTTTGCTTAGTGCTTTGTACAATTATTTTATCTATAAAATTTTCCAAATTTACTTAAGGAAAAAAAAAATACGGACAACAAATTCGGGTGTGCTTCCAGATATTTCGAACAAAATGAATATCAGAATAATGTAAGCATGTCAAAGACCTTTGTCCTATTTACAGATATTTCTTCCATAACATCTCAAAGGAATCCAATCTATGGTATATCTATATACTAATCAAATAATGTTTTTTCAGCAAAAAGAATATTGAACTGATTTTTGCTTATCAAAAAAACATTAAAACTGATTTTTGAATGAATAAAGTTCCAACTAGTGGTTGTCACAGAAAAGGAGCTCACACAGAAAGCTTCCCATCAGAGACAGACATCTGCCTTTTCACTTTGTCCGGCTGCAACTGCAGTTAAATTAAAAAAACTTGTTACGAATCTAATCAGAAACTACTCATGGGCAAAGATAGCTTGAGCATCATGGAACATCACCTCTTTATCCACAGCCAAAGCTGAATATACTATCCGAGCAGTTTCCTCGGACTCATAATCTACTTCCAAGTCACTGCAAACAAAATTCTTTCATCAAGTTAACAAGAAAAGAAATGAACAAGCACACCATGCCTTGGTTTTGGAAAAGAAAATTACAAAAAATATATAATAATTAATTAATTAATAAAACAAATTATACCTCCAATTCCCCACAGTTCCTTGGAATTGTATTTCATTACTTTATTGATTAAAGTATAGATTCTTGTAGGAAAAGCATTTTACCGCTCAGATTCAATCTTAATATATTTTTGCCAAGATCAACAATAATAGTTCCAAATTTTATCATGACCACTTCCTGTTAATAGCTTATGTTTCATCGATATTACAAATATATTTCCATTTTGCATAACAATCCTGAATATAGAATTTGCTATCATGTGCCAAAGGAGACCAGACAAGCTAAAAATAGAAGCCAATGGCCTGATGCCACCCCAAAACATTACAGCGAACGTAAACCCTTGAACTTCTACTTTGGAAGGTAAGTAAGTACCACTACACTTCACTACCTGTGTGGTGACAAGTAGTAGCTAATCATACTAAAAATTACTATATTTCAATTTATGGCCACTAGTTGGCTATACTATAATTCTGCCAACATGAACTTACCAAACCAAATGCATGAAAAAAGAAAAAACCTCTGTTATATCAATCAATTGGATTTATTTGTGGATAAGCTAGGTTTTCATCTGCCAAGAACGGTTCATCACTTCATCCCATTTCAAGATATAAACACCGAGTTTATCCTGCAGACAATCTTCTCATAATATAGATTATCACACCATCTCTACTTGGCAAAACCATTAATAACTCTTTTCAACCAATCATACTTTTTTTTTTTGATAAATACTTCAACCAATCATACTTTGAATTGCATAATTTGTTAGCTGTTGGCCAATTGGTTCGAATCTTTTTAGGTGCAAGGGATTCAAATAATCTTCAACTCAATAATAGTTATACAACATTCTCTATTATGATTGTAGCACCCTACTCAGTAATTTATGTTTTCTTCTGCATTTGCGTTGACTGGTGTGAATGGAACTTTACAATTGGTTTTAATCAAAAATTAGAACTTTCAATAATTATATACGTAGAAAAACACCCAAAAATTAAAAAAATAAAAAAAAATGAAAGAAGCTAAGAAGCAAATGAAACTAATGAAATAGATATATAATCTAACAGTATAAACAGATAAATCACTTAATAATCTATGAAAAGTTGAAAACCCTAACCAAAATGACGAGTATGGACCAGAAAAATTGAAAACCCCCATGTGTACAATCCAAAAATAATAAAGCAAGAATGTATAAAGCCGATACAAACCTTCAAAAATATACCGTTAAAAACATAGACTTAGAGAGAGTAAGAGAGAGACTAACCAGCTGAAGTCCCACTGGGAGGGAGGAGTTTGGCCATATGTTGTCATGTCTAGCGCCCAATCCAAACCTTCACCGACTCACTCTTCTCTCTCTCCCCCGTAGAAAAAGGAACGAGGAGACCCGTTAGGGCAACATGTAGATTTAAAACCAACCCATATGGTCAGTCAAGCCTGTTTTTTTCTTTTTCATTTTTTTCAGTAATATATATATATATATATATATATATATATATATATATATATATTTATTTATTGTTTTTTTCTATGAATTTTGGTGAGTCAAAGTATATTCAGTGAAACCGAAAATTCAAACCGGACCGGTTAGTTTGGTTCGGTTTATTAGCGGTTTGGTTTGATCATGACTCTAAATTTATAGAACCGTAAAAATACAATTTGATCACGGTTTGAAATCATTTACAATTGAATAGAACCAAACCGTTAAGTTGTATATATATATATTAAATTATACATATAATATAATATAATTCTAGAGTGGCCTAATGTTGCTCGTTTTATAAATTGTGGTGTTTGTTGTTGAATTAATAATTCTAAATATATTAGACTATTAACAATTATGAAGATGTTCACTGATTCATATAAATTTCAAAAATAAGAAAAATAAATATATTAGTAATTTTGAATGTGGTTTATTATTGTGCATTTAAATTTTAAATATAAAAAGAAAAAGAACAGTAAAACCGAAACGAATCGATGTTTGATTCGATTGGATTCCTTTAATGAAATGATTCAATTTAGTCCTATATTTTCTAAACCCATTAGAAATGATTTGGGTCGATAGGTGCGTACCCTAAGTCAAACATTAGTTTATTTGATGGGACACAAATCATTGGACACTATTGGTGAAATATTATCGACTCATTATATCCTTTTTTTTAATAGAAGAATACATGGACTTTATATGGTTTACTCAGCATGTTACAGAAATAGAAGTCTTTTAACATCTACCTGACTATCAGGTGATAAATGTCCCAGTCATGACATTTACTTCCAATAGAAGGATATAATGTTTCTATTTAGGTAAATAAATAATGTATAAAACAACATAATATACAAATTTACAAGGGGAATGAAACCCCAAAGGCCATACATTTAACAAAGGCCAAGAAGCCAGAAAGGCAACAAAATAAAAGAAGCCAAAACCAGCTAAAATCTACCACCGTAGAGACGCAAAACAGCCAGAGCCAGCAAGCTTGGCACCATGAAGCCACACAAAACCGATAACAGCCGAGCATAGCAACAAATACTGCCCCGTAGGGAGAAATCCCAGCCATGAAGGGAGAAAAAACATGGGAACTGGAAATGTAACCATGAGCAAGGGCAAGGCCAAAGCACCTCAGGAATAGCACATGTTGCCTTCATTCTCTCAGAAAAAAATAAATAAATAAATTAGGCAGATTCCAAATTCTACCACTGTGCGGAGTACAAGGGCATTTGTTTGTGTATAGTGTTACTAATACTGAACCGTTTGTTTGTATCTGTTTCTAAGCTGAGACAATCTTCTTTGTAGAGGAAATTTCTCATCCTTCAACCCCAGTTTATCCAAGTAGAACACAATCTTTTTTAGGGTTTCTGTAACCTCCAAACTCTCATTGCCCAACTCTCTCTCTTGAATTCTCAAAACCCTCTGAAGCAGCTTCAGTAATTCCTGGTCATCTTTCCCTAATCTAGTCTGAATGGACACCAAACAGTCAAGGGCCTCCCCTGCAGTGACCAAAATGAATATTTTATTAAAATTAATAAATAAATGTTGCAGATAAGCCTTATTCAAGTGATGGGGTTTTATGAAGAAGCTACTGAGGCAACACAGATATCAAATAACCATGGTTAAAACTAGCAATGGGTTCAGATATAATTAACAAAATTGGATATGATAATAGCGAAATTCGCCATGAATAAAAAAACCGTGAAAATGCCAAACACTAATTTCCCTGATATATTGCATTTTCAGTTGGTACTCAAAATTCAAAGTCCATGTTAATTCGAGTATACAGGGTAATGGAATACACAATCAGGTCCAACAGAAAGGCAAAAGGATAATTCATTTCAACATAAAACAAAAGGCAACACAAGCTTACCAACTGGAAGAGATTCTTTGCCAAATGCATTCTCACGGATGCGCAAAACCTCCAGGGCAAGTTGCTCAGCTTCTTCATCCTGCTTTAATTTGTAGAGAATAACTGCAAGATGTAACATAGGGAAGGTGATGGACTGATCATCAGGACCAACAGTCCTCATCATGATCTGTAAACTTGTCCGCAGCAGGCGTTCAGCCTCCACAAAATCCTTGGAGCGTGAATAGGAGGTTGCAAGATTTATAAGATGAGCAACTGAGCTGGGATGTTCTTTTCCTTTATATTTCTCAGTAATCAACAAGCATTCCCTAAGAAGCTCACGGCCTTCTTCTCCTCTGAAAGCAAATAAGACTATTATTAGATAATGATGTTTTCGCTACAGCAACTGCAACCCCATAATGTCCAAAATAATAGCTTGGTTTAAAATTAGCAGATTCTGCTGCAAATTCACATGTAGTCTCAGCTCAACTAATTTAGGTAATTAATCAAACTCATAACCTCAATTAGCATGCTCAAAGATTGATCTCCACCTTCAAAAGTACAAAGTACTAGTTTTTCAAAGTAAATGTATTTAAATCTCATTTTTTCTGTAACAGACAAATGGTTAGAGAAGTCAAGAGACCTCACAAGAAGTTGCAATTGCAGTCCACTTAGGGGTCCTTTTGTAGAAAAAATAAAACTAAAAGTTGCATATTCACAAAATAATAAGAAACAAGAATTGCATCATAGGCTCAGGGAGAGCAATTATAGGACGTAACCACTTCAGAATTAACCTATCAACTTGAACTCACAAAATAAAGTAACCCATTAAGAGATCTAGTGATAAAATGATGAAAAACATCTCAATCCTTCTCAGCCTGTGTCTTGCTGTTCAGCAAAGATAGATTGTTAACTTGTGATAGTCAAAGCACACTGGGGGTTCCTTAATATTTCGGTAATGATAAATAGAGAAAGAAAATACACCAAATTATAAAATTAAAATGAAATAAAATAAATAGCTTTACCTTCCTACTGCATGAAGTAATTCTGCCAAATCTATCCTTGTTTTCTCCATTACGTTGTCATCTAACTCCATAAAACCTGAATCCTTGAAAACCTGAAGCGCACTCCTGTATAAATTTATGGCTTCATCCGCATTCCCTGCAAAAGCAGCATATAAACCATTCTAAAAAATGAAAAGAGGTATCAAATTTATAAATAAACTGTTTAGCACCTTTACATTTTTATTATCCATAATATCAGGCTGAACAATTGTCAATATAATTGGAGATATTTCTTGACCCTGTACAAATTTTGTGCTGTTTACCATTCACCACTTAAGGTTGACAGGTTGAGAAACACACTGAAGTAATGATCTAATGTAAGAAATATAAGTAATATCATATTATATTATAGCATAATGAGAAGAAAACATTTGCAAACCAAGAAAACTGCAATATTCACCTTCTGCACACTTCACATTGGCTAGGGAGCACATAGCTATTCCAACTCTTCCATCATTCTCCCCATATAACTTTTTATATATGTTCAAAATTCTGCATTTGAAAGAGAAGGCGGGGGGGGGGGGGGGGGGGGAAGAAGAAGGTTAACTGTCTGAATGCATAAATCCATAGAACCCAAGGCAAAAAAATAAATAAAAAAGAAAGTAGAAGAAGAAGGAATATGCAAAAGCAAAGTCACCTAACAATATGATTTTTGGCATCAGAAGCTCTTCCTTCCTTGATTAAAAGATTGCCAAGGCCAAATAAAGGTACTACCAAATCCTCGCTTTCTGCACCTTTACTCAATTCCAATATAGCAATTGCACGGTGATATGATTCTATTGCTTTTGTGGCCTTTCCTACAGAACCAAGTACTTTTGCCATGCCTAGTAATGGAGTGACGAGAAAAGTACTATCACTCCCTACCAAAAAAAAAATTAAAAATTCAATCATCAAACTGCATCTTTCAGAATATTGCCTAACTAAAGGAAATACTAACAGATATTTTGGCACTAGCAAGAGCTAGAACAAATGTTGATCAACAGAACAATTTAGTGCTAAAATGCTCCTTCAAAATAAAAAATAATGGACCCAATCTATGAAAAATAAAATTTAAATTCAGCACAATTTGCAAAGGTCAGAGCAGAAACTCCAATTAAACAATTGCAGTAGAATTTACATTTCATTCCCTTTCACATTGCTGAAAAAATTGAAAGGATTCAAAGATTATAAATCATTTGAGTACAACAAAGCGGCCCAAATTGAACACAAAGGTGGTCAAAATTTAATGTTAAATCTTCTTAAACATCCAAAAAGCATTATTTGACATTACAATTTAATGCTGATTCAATTACCAATATTCTTTTATAGAGTTGAAACGGCAGATAGTTCTATCTAAATATGGGGACTTTTCACTGGACCCAAGATGGTTCTCTTATGTCTAACAAAGAGTTATGACTAAACCAGTAAAGGGAAACATTTTGTTGCAAACAAAAGGTGCCTAACCCAAGACAGACATAAATGAAAAAGAATTCATGTAGTCATTTGAAGCGAAAGGAATTTGGACTTGAAACTTTTGTTGAGCTGAGTTGAGAAGATACAGTTTTTTTAGCTTTCTTGAACAATGAGAATGAGAAGTATGGTAAAATCATTCTCTTCACCTGGAAGTATAACTTAAAGCGAATCATAATATGAATCTTTGCACTTCTTCATGAAAATTTGAACTAACATTTGCAAGCATCAAATTAGCTAAATCAGTGAAAAATTATAATAACATTTGCAAGCATCATTAGCCAAATCAGAAGCAACAGAAGAAAATTAAATTGATTATGAATTTAAATTAACTTCCCGCTCATCATTGATGAATTGTCATATTATTGTAATTATTAATTTTCCAAGAAGGAAGTCCGTACTACTTTTAGGGTTACATCTACAAAACTATTTTCAAGCTAAACAATAGCTTAACAAATCTACATGAGAAAAAGTTAACAACATCAATCTCAAGGTCAATAATACTTCACCGCTGACCAAGGCCCTGTTGTACCAAGAACAGAACCAGAATTGGGTAATGCCCCTTAGATTAATACATTTCAATCAAAATCTAAGTATACAACTAAGAAGCACGGACACGGATACGGGACACAGATACGACACGACACCGACACGGCGACACGGCAAATCCAAAAAAATTAGGACACGGACACGGCGAATAGTATATATATATATATATATATGATGTGGTACTTTAAAAATTACTGAGTGTTACTATTTTTCATCAACCTCACAGTGAAAAAAAAAACACAAATCATAACTCATAACTAATAAACTATAAAAGAACAATGTTGCAGAGTTATAAAACCAAATAAAAAACAAGACATTAGAATAATAACTAGTATCATTTAATCATCATTGCAACTTCACTCCAAATACAAAAGCATAGACAGAAAGGACTATTAACATTCATGACTGTTTAACATTCAGGACTTTACTATTAGCACTTAACATTCACAAAAACCTAAAGGCTAGTCCCCAAAAAAGATACAAAAACAAGTCAGTGTACTATCATTTATTCCCATCCATCATTTGACCTAGGACATTTACCATTTACAATACCAAAAGGGTAGTACAAAACAAAAAAAAGAACATATCAGCATTCAAAAAAACAAATTAAAAAAATTCCAGAAGTGTCCGTGCTGTATCCGTGTCCGTGTCCGTGTCCGCTGAGTATCCGTGCCGTGTCCGCGGAATATCCGAGCCGTGTCCGAAAATTCAAAAAAAATAAAAAAACACCAAACACGTTTTTTGGCGTGTCCGACACGTGTCGGGGCGTGTCCGACTCGTGTCCGTGTCGGACACAGATTCTTCGCCCATTTTGGAGTGTCCATGCTTCCTAGGTATACAACAACAACAACCACGCCTTTTCCCAATTACTTGGAGTCACCTAATGAATCCGATGTTTCCATTCCGCTTTATTTAAGGCCATAGCCTCAGTCAATCCACATGCTATCATATTTTTCTTTACTAACTCTACCCACGTTAACTTCGGTCTTCCTCTTCCCACTTCCCCTTAGTATTACCCTCAATGTGAACTATGTCACATTTCCTAACAGGCGCACTTAAAGGTCTTCTTTTGCACATGTCCAAACCATCTTAACCGATTTTCTCTCATTTTATCTCAAATTGGTGATACACCAACCATCTCCTAAATGTGATCATTTCTAATTCTATCCCTTTTAGTCTTACCGCACATCCATCTTAACATTCGCACTCACTATATACAAATGTTGTTTCCTAGCTGCCCCATATCTAACTATAGCATAATGAACTTCAAGTTGGTTATAGTTGTCAAGGAAAACCACTAGAATCATACCTAATCTCAATGGCAATATTTCCAGGGATTATTTAAATGCGGATTTTAGTATCCACTTACTGTGGTACGAACTTTTGAATTGTATACAATAATAATGTAATAGTAACATTGACACAAATTTATTAGCATGTAAAATATCCAGCAAGCAGCATGTCTAGCAAAGTGCATTTGGAATTAACATTGCATTTTAATCAATTCTTTCAAATCATGAACCAGGGATCTGCCAACACTGGCAGATCAGCCAAATCAAGTTACTGTAGAAGATTTAGAACAGCCACTTTCAACTACAAAAAATACTACAGAACAGTAAATTTTTCAAAGATTACACATACCATATACTCTCTCTAGAATTTCAAGAACTCTCATGTACGCAAGCATGGATTTCTCAGATTTCCCCAAGGTTGAATACATACTTCCCATATGTGTAAGTATTGAATCCAGAAGAGGTTCATCACCTTTTAAACCATCAACAACCTCATTCAGCTGGCAGTCCACGAATATGTAAAGAAAAAGAGGAAAAATTTTGCTCAGAAAGAATATCTTAAGTAGAAACATAAAGTTTCCAAACAAGATGGCAAGTTTGAATAGACAAAAGCTTAATTACAGTAATATATACAAGAATAGACCAAATTGTCAAGTTTGAATAGCCAAAAGCTTAATTTCAGTAATATATACAAGAATAGACCAAATTGTACATATCCATGAAAAAAAAAAATCTCTAAAATATAGAATTTGATGGTAGAACTTCAAGGTGGCACAAAAGATATTTCTCACACACACACACACACCTGTATCTATTTTAGCATATAAGCTACTTGCAAATATAATGACCCAATAAAGAAATTTATCAACTAAAAGTTAATATAATCAAAACGAAATAGAGGACAATAGGATATAAACTCTCCTCTCTCTTTTCAATAATATAAATTAGCATTGATCTACTAGAATCTTCATGTCAATATAATAATGAGTATGGCGGCATTGTTTTGATTAATCACCGCCCCACCAATAAGTTCTACGGATAGTAACAAAGTAAATGAAAGGGGACAGCCTCACACACACACATATTCTGAGTCTCAAATTACTTAAATAAGACATTACCATGTCCAACAAGGATCCAACCATCTTGAAGTCCCCAATGGCCATGTACCCCAAGGCTATGGTGTCAAGAATAGCAGCCTCTTCTATGCCCCTAGAACCTGCATCCATCTGTTCTTTCACACCTTCATAATTTGCTTTAAGTAGATCTAATGCCTCATTTTTGTTCCCCATCCTAATCATAGTTTTGATTTCTTCAAATAACTCCTCCAGCTGTCTTTCAAAATCATTCATATCATCCAAGGGGAGCGTTGAGATGCCATGCAACTCCTCAGACCTGCTAAAGCTATACATTATCACAGATATTTTTCAATCATGAAACTTAAAAGAGCTTATTGCTTTCGAAACATTAATTAATCTGACTCAACCAGTACTTGTCCTGATTTTCTTAGATCAATGCTGAGACTAAATCCTCATAATATATAATACATAAAAAGTTCAGACATTAAAGCAATAGCGGATTCAACAACCTCGGGAAAGAAAATTTGCCCTGTGTACCAGCATAGCACATACAAGTTCAACATAAGTCTGAAGCTTGCCAAGATATAAACCAGCAGCTCATGATGATAAACTAAAGTTGAGGATTCAAAATTTTCACCAAATTGGTGGTTATCAACATTTATTTAAAAGTTGGTTCAACAAAGCTACATAGCACATCAACATCTCCAACACGAAAGCCCATAATAGAGGAAGCAATTTTCTAAGGAATTAACAGAGAGTTAGTATTACCAAATGAATATTAAAAAATTGATCTAGTAGGAGATATGGCTTATGATAGAAAGAGTGGAAAAAGAGAATTAATGTTGCAAACCAGTATGTGCGAGATAAAGGCTAGGATGATGATGATTAGCATTTAGAAACAAATACTAAGAATTCTACAATAAAGCAGCTTGATTACTTCACTAAAAGATACTTTGTTTGCTTGGTTACTAATCCGATTAAATTCCATTCTGTAATATTCCACAGCCCGGATTGACAAAATAGAACTCATGTAGTCAACTCTAAAAGGTTTATAAAGCAGCCTTTTGATTTATTTATTTATTTGTGAAGAAGTATGAATTTTATTTATAAGTGAAAACAGCTCTTTTAGTTTATTTGAACATTCTACTATACTCCAAAAAACCTTGGTCTAGAGAATAGATTTGCTCATTTGCAAATACGTGTGCGTGTGTGATAGAATAAGCTAAATGGCCATTCAACAGGTCACTTAAATTCCTACCTCTGAGAGTTGTCTCGATCCAGAACACCAGAAGAAACTTGAGTTTGTTCCTGGGTGCCATGTACTTCTAATGAGCCAGATGTAGCTCTCAAGACACAGTGGCGGGAATTGGATGTAATAGGTACCATGTAAAGCTTCATGTTGCATTTTCTATTTCGGAGATAAAAACAGGAAGACGCAATGCTCTTCTGCAACTGGCTTGAGTGCATGTGCAGACAAACTTGACCAGTCCTGAAAAGTTAAGGTGTGAAACATTAAAGAACACCCAATATGCCAAAAAGCCATGAAGCCATCTTGAAATAAAATCATGATATTGTACTGTACAGAACTAACAGAAGAATCAAATATCAAATGACCTTGAATTATGAATATATGCACATAGACATGGCAACAATTAAAGGGGAAAAAAGGGAATAATACTGACCATAGAAAAGGTTAAAACATTAGCTCTGCATTTTGTAAGTCAACTCAACAAAGTTTTTTCCAAACTATTTAGAGCGAGCCATATAAATCCTCTTTCGTGCTCTATCCAAGGCCACTGTGTTACTCGGACTTGGGTACATTTGTTGCATAGGTGCATGCTTAAGGGCCAGATTCATCCATCATTCAAATTATTGTATGCGAAGAATTGGCTGAGAAGTATCCACTGGATATGGATACTTGGGCACGATATACAAAACATTGCCCAAAAGCGTACTAAATTGTATTACAGCTACCCGTGAATCTATTACACATACAGAAGCAGGTGATAGTTACCCACCAATTTGTATGAAATTATTTATTATTATCTTTTTTGTAATGTAGAAAGTATGTAAGTGTTATTTGAATTTACAACCCTTCGAGTCTTGTGACTCCTTAAGATCATGTTGCGCCCAACACATGAAAATCACTATTCACCCAAACATAGCAATCATGCAAGAGCAACGAGTAATGAAACAATAATTGCCAACCTCCACTAAAACACAACGTTTGAACGAAAAAGCACTGCAGTAAAGGATCAGAAGAAGCTGATCTAAAAGGAAATGTCAAAAAAAAAAATTACTAAACTTTCACAAACATCCACCTTCCCAATCATCCATCACCATTTCTTCGCCAATCATGAAAGAAGAAAAAACGTTTTGACAAATATCTTGTATCTATGTCATCATGTCCTGTTGACACTGTTATCCTCAATTACAATACTAATACAAAGATCTAACATATCTTCCCTTACTCATGTTACTTTCGGTCTTACCCTTTGCCTATCGTTACCCTTATTGTGAACTATGTCATTCTTCCTCACTGATACAGTCTACAATCAACAAATAGGTTGAACCATCTTAATCTTTTTTCTCTCAGCATCTAAGAAGCACGGACACGGATACGACACGACACCGACACGGCGACACGGCGACACGGCAAATACAAAAAAATTAGGACACGGACACGGCGAATAGTATATATATATATATATATATATATATATATATATATATATGATGTGGTACTTTAAAAATTACTGAGTGTTACTATTTTTCATCAACCTCACAATGAAAAAAAAACACAAATCATAACTCGTAACTAATAAACTATAAAAGAACAATGTTGCAGAGTTATAAAACCAAATAAAAAACAAGACATTAGAATAATAACTAGTATCATTTAATCATCATTGCAACTTTACTCCAAATACAAAAGCATAGACAGAAAGGACTATTAACATTCGTGACTGTTTAACATTAAGGACTTTACTGTTAGCACTTAACATTCACAAAAACCTAAAGGCTAGTCCCTAAAAAAGATACAAAAACAAGTCAGTGTACTATCATCTATTCCCATCCATCAATTGACCTAGGACTTTTACCATTTACAATACCAAAAGGGTAGTACAAAACAAAAAAAAAAGAACATATCAGCATTCAAAAAAAAAAATTCCAGAAGTGTCCATGCCGTGTCCGTGTCCGTGTCCGTGGAGTGTCCGTGCCGTGTCCGCGGAGTATCCATGCCGTGTCCGTGCCGTGTCCGAAAATTCAAAAAAAATAAAAAAAATTCCAGACAGGTTTTTTGGCGTGTCTGACATGTGTCGGGGAGTGTCCGACGCGTGTCCGTGTCCGACACACGTCGGACATGGATTCTTCGCCCATTTTGGAGTGTCCGTGCTTCCTAGCTCAGCATACTTATCAAAAAAAAAAAGAAAAAAAAATATATATTTTTTCTCTCAACTTACTCAATGGGTGCTACAATAACTCTCTTACAAGTGTGTTTTTGGCTAATTTATCAATTTCTTTTTCTTATTTCTTTTTTTTTTTTTGACTTAATCACCATTAATCTTACTGATCTTACCATCATCCACTTTTTGAACACGCTTATTTTATGTACATTCTATTTCTTAACTGCCCAACATCTTTCAAATAAAGCACACTTGGTCTAAAAAAAGTTTTATACTTTTAACTTTTAATTTGAAATGGATACATTGATCATGCAATATGCCAAAAGCACTCATCAACTGACCCATTTTGTTTTAGTTTTATCAACAATATCACATCCAACCTCCCCCTTGCTGTAAATAATCCAACTAGGCCAAATAGTCACTGTAAGATATCACTCGACAAATAATCTCCATTGCATCTCCACTTTTAATCTACTTTTTAAAAGTCACATTCCATATATCCAGTCTTAGTCGTGCTCAGGACTGACTCGAACACCAATCGATTGAGACGGATGCCTTAGGCCTCACATGGAGAACACTCAATAGAAAGCCCCATATAGATAATACGGTTCAACAGAAAGACTACATATACACATGATTAATTAGATTCTTTCTAGATTGCATTCGTTAGTGATAAATATAATTGAATACAAAGTATACATTTTTAGATTGAATTGAACTAAGTAATTAACTAATAGACTTCTACTTTAAATCTCTCTCTTTTCCCACATCTTTTCTTAGTTCTTTAAAAAAAAATTGTGTTATCATATAGTTTCTTCTTTTTCTCTGGACTCATTTTAATTGGTTAATTAGTAAAGTTTTCTAAAATATAAAGACTTACTAAATATTACTAATATTAATATACTGAATTTTTTAATTTTTTTTAAATGTTTTCTTTAAAGTTATCGCTTTAGGCCTCAATATGAATCAAGCTGGCCTAGATCCTGCTTATCTCATTTTGAATTCATCAATAAAACTAATATCCGTGAACAAATAGCATATACATGATGACCATAGCAAATCAAGACTGTAGATACTCTTAGTTCAAGACTTTAACATACTTTATTTCAATATTGTGATAGAAAACTTATGTACTATAGAAATACTATATCTTCATTTTTCCATTTCTTTGCTAAGGAAATGGTAGTTTAGGGTGGGACGGACCCGTGCACCCTGTGTTTGCGCAAGGGTCGACTACTTGTCTTCTTGGCATCTCGAGACTTGTTCTCATTGCCAGAATTTGATCCAGCGACCCCTACACCTTCTCCCCACCAAAGCCTATGGGCCCAGTAGCATAAAGAAGGTGGACAGCAAGCGAAGTGAGAATGAAATCAAAAGGAAAAGAACCTCATGCAGCTATTACAACCTCACCATATTCAAACTAAGTCAACTAATATAAAGGCACTACATTCAAGTATGTGAACACCATGTTACCGTCCCCATTCCACATGGCAAAGTGATCCACATTCCAGAATTTTCAATTTCACATGGAATTTTAAATGTTTTTACCATACTGACATTCATGTTCACACATACTTTTCTGATCTGGTCCAAGCAAAAGAATTCTTAAACTAATCTCAAAATTTCACAAAACATTCAAATTCTGAGGCGCAACACACAAAATTTATACTTCAATACAAATATATTCTTCATTATTACCAAAAACACCGTTGCTAAAACTAGGAAGAGAAAAATTAATGAATGCCCCAAAATGATCCTAATAGTAATAATATGACAAGGGATTTCTCTAGTTCTAATCAAGCATCCCTTTCTTCACTCATTTTTGTTTTTAGTGGTATCAACGGTAAGAATCAAACCAATAAACTCTCTCTCCCTTTTAGATGCCGAACAATACTTAACCAGAGTAAACATGGGTTTCTTCACTTGCTATATTACATGGACTCTTCCAACATAGTTGAAGTACCCGTGTTATTTGGACATGGGTATGAGATATGTTCGACATTTTAAGTTGGACATGTATCTGTAAACATATTTAATAATTCTATTCTATTATATTATTACTTTAACTGAGTGAAATGCATATATTGATCACTATATCACATACATGGGCGGAACCAATGTGCAGGGGTCAGCTGCCCCCCTGCCCAGCCCCACCCAATGTATATTTTCTTATTTTTATGCTCCTATATTTGTGAAATTATACTATATGTTCCCCTAAAATTTTCAATTTCTAAAAGCCTCTCTAATTTTTCCTTTCTTTTTTCTATTACTCTTCAGGTGGATACATACACATGCTTGAGACATGTAACCGAGTCCATGTAACATAAGTTCACTTATATTCATAAATTATTGTGAAATGGTTTTGCTAATTTGTCAAATAACTCACTCATTATAAATTAAACAGCCCTTAATAATTCCAAATCTTATATTTTTTTGGATGGCTTGCACAAAAGAGATTCAGTAAAGAACTCTTGAAAATCCAAGACTCCTTCAATAATACTGTAATTCAAAAATTTAGATGTTTAAGTAAAAGTTATTTCTCGACATGGTACTCTGATGGATAGGGGAACTCTTCTACAGTTGTAATTAGTGCTTTCCAGAGACTACTTACTCATTTGACATTCAAAGTTCACTAATCTGAGTACATACTAGAATTCAATTTACCCGAAAGAACCAATTGCAAAGATATAATAAACCCACATTGACAAACCCCTTGGAAATGCAAATTAAAATTATGAGAGTAAGAAAATGTTTCTGTCATGTATATATATACACCTCTTTTTATGTATTTGTGTGTGTACGTATACATATGTGTTATATATATATATAGACAGAGAGAGAGGTTGTTTAGTTAGTACCTGAAGTTGTTGAAAGAGGGCGAGTGGAGGAGTGAAGTAGCCATTGTAGGAGCTCGCAAGAGAAGACGCGAAATTACGAGTTCATAATACTTGAAGGGCGGTGTATTTTAAGCCCAAAAGATAAGACCAGTGTCTGTCGTCTCAGTAGGTCGGTTGGCTTCTTTTTCTTTTTTTATTCTTTTCTTCATTTTTTCTTTTTCTTTTTTCTTCTTTTTTTTTCCTCCATTTTTTATATAGGAATAAGTTCCAAATAATAATAATAATAAAGGAATCAAAAAGCAATATTGACATATAGTACATATCCATTCAAACACATGTTGCCACACACAAGCAAATAATGTAGTTGGATTTAATTTGTTCACAGTAATATTTACTAAAATGACATGATTTCACCATTTTATTGAAGATTTTATCATATTAAGCATTAAAGTGAAAATATTTTCCATCATATTTTTCAAGACCAGCTAGCACAAATGAAGTCAAATCTCATGAGATTTTTCTTAGGACTAACCTGCTTTATCTCATGAGATTTTTCTTAGGACTAACCTGCTTTTGGGAGGATAGTACGTTCTTTTTTCTTTTCTTTTCTTTTCTTTTTTTTTTTGTGCATTTTTAATTTATTTACCTTTCAATCTCAAGATCCAAATTTATAAGAACATATCATTATTTAAATATGTTCACAAATTATCATTTGACATAAAAATAAAAAAATGTTACACACTTCCTTCTTAGTTTTCAATGCCAGAATGCATTAACATCCTATGAGAATCAAATTGTTAATCCCTGTGTCTGTACACGGGCAGTCCAAAGTGATTGAAAAACAAAGCCAGATCTCCGACTTTGTTTTTCAATTAAATATTTCAGCAATCAATGTTTCTACAGGAAACACACACACACACACACACACACATATATATATATATATTTGAGTCATCACACATTGACTGATGCAACCCTGCACAATGGCCTTTCAAGATGGCTAACTCATACTCAATCCACATCAACCTTACATGGAGGTGTATCTTTTATATGCATTAAGAAGGCATTCAATAAACAGTTTTAGCCTCTAACAAAGTACTGTAAACATTTTAATCACTGCGGCGAATACACACTAGAACCTCCATGTAGTTCCTGCTGTGCATTAAGCATTTCAGCAAGATCCCATTTTATTTACAAGCACTCGGCACAAAACAAGCTGTGGACTAAGTTCAGAGAATCCACATCTAATCAGACAAATCCATATTTGGTCAAGGATACAAGATCACGGGGGTACATCAATCATGTGTTCAACAATAGAAGCATTTAGCTTCGTCACTACAATAATTTAATTTTCAGTGCTCAGGCCAAAATTGTCATTCGAGCGTCATATGGGAGCATTATGCCCATTACTAAGAAATCGTTCTTCATTTTCTCCGGATTTTAACATTAAGAGCCCACTGTAGCTTCCCCTCTGGCAAAGGAATGGACATTGGCAAGCGGAGTGGCACCTCAAACTCCCCCAAAGATGACAAAGGAGATGGTAGATGCAGATGTACAGGCTCGATACTCACGCAAAGCTGCCTTGCCACCTGATGCAAGTACAAAAAGCTAAATCAGTAACAAAACAACTGTTGTACTAAATCAATTTATGTTCTTAAGCATTATCTAAATGTATTGTGATTACATCTACAATGACAAGACAAACATGGTCAAATAACAGAGTCTAACTTTGCACAGTTGTTCCAGACTGCTTAAAATTTCTAGTGAATATTGAAGAAAAAATTTCAATCAGATTGTCGGAATCTCACAGCACAAAAAGTGATTCTTTTTTTTTTTTTTTTTCCATTAAGAAAAAGACATGGACATGCACTAAGATTATTTGTGTTGGCAATCTCCTATATGGAGGCTGGGGACACTGTTCCAGACTGCAAAATATTTCTAGTAAGTATTGAAGCAAAATTTTCAGTCATTTTGTCAGAATCTAGCACTAATAGGCAATCTCCCATGTGGAGGCTGGAGCCAATACTGCAGTGGACCGCAGTATTTATAATAGTGCCGTGAATTCAACAAGGATATATAAAATCTGTTTTGATCCAGATACAAGTTCCCTTATGCACAATAATCAAATTTACTATACATATTAAAAGAAGGAACTTGCAATTTATAAACCAACATGGTAAAAGGGCCAATGGCTTCAAAATGATTAATTAAGAAACACAATGAATTGTCCATTTTGTACATTCTTACATTTTCCACATGTTGATGAAGTAATGAACCTGAATGGAATGCTGTTTTACAGTATATAACTGAACATTTATATTTTTACAATGAAAACTCTCCACTTCTATATCATCCAAAACTAGGCACAGTTACAATAGCAACTCAGAAATATTTTCCTACTTTAGGAAGGAGATTGGAAGCAATACAAAAAATAACAAACCCTAATACCATGCTGAACTTTGAAAGTACTCTTTTTAAATACGAAAGGAATTATCTTTAGTTGAAACAAAAAGAATTACCAATCAGCATCTCCACAACTGACAGCTCCGCTACCACTCTACTCCATCTACGGAGCAGCCAGTACCTCATCTCCAATAAAATCTACAACCATGATTGCCTAGATGATTTCAGCAGCTAAAATATCCTCCAGCGCAAACCACCGGCAATAAACTTAGCATCACTAACACCAAAAACTCCGATGAAGTCTCCCTCTGGACTGACTTACGCAGCTATACCACTGGACTAGGGCTGCCATTATTTTCAATATCACCACTGCCACTCCCAAAACCTCTACTAGCAACTTTGCCTTTTCCATGACCACTAAATCCTCATATCTTTACATATTTTCAATAAAAGTACATCTTTTCAGGTATCATCATATAAAGCCTACTTTGATTATCACTTTGCCCAATCATTCCCTCCCCACTCCCTCCCAAAAAAGGGACAAATGACTAAAAACTGATCTGAAAACTACTAATGAAAAAATATGGAGTTCAAACACCACACATAAAAAGTTAAAACAAAAAAGAATATATACACAGTTATCCTTTTGTTGTGTTCTTCATCTTCGTCATCATCTTTTCCTTTATAGTTTATCCCACATGGACTTTGTGATTTTCATATGAATAAATAATCTGAAAAAAAAATTGTGAAAAATCAACAGAGAATAATGAGACCGCACCTCAGCTACAAGTTCATCTTTTGTCACTGGTAAGCGCAATTCATTGTCAACCTTGATGAATCTTTTCAGAACCTAAATGAAAGGCTACAGAAGTCAGAAGATATAATTAGAAGTAATAGAACATATCTTGTGGATGTATAAGAGACTTTTTCAAACTCCCCAAATTAAAATTCAGGCATTAGTCCATCACTCTTCAAGAACAACAATAATTACAAAATAATAAAAGAAATCCAATCAGTTCTCATGATTCCAATATTTTCAATTCATATGCCCAAGGCCAACTTTTAAATTTGAACACTTGATAGGCACTAAGACCTACTTTTATATGAACAGTGAACTATACATTATAATAGATTATTTCATTGAGCAAACATGAAACAAGAAACCTGCTTCACTCCTATACGAACCCAACAGGATGGAGGAACAAAAAAGAACCATAAAGACCACGCTAATATAGAAAAATCAAATGGAACTTTGTCTAAGGGCTTTGAAATAGGATACAAACCAGCTTAGCCTTTCCAAGACGGTTTGCAGCTGTTTGATACTCTTTCATCGTATCTGCCTCTGTCTTTGGAACTGCTTTAACAACCTTTTCAACTTCCTTAGGTTGGTAAATCTGATCATACAAATGACAAGCATAGATTCAACAATTGCCATTAAATAACCAAAGAGAAAAAAATAATAATAATAAATTTCCAGGTACAGAAAAATGATCCAAGTGAATCAAGTTATGAGGTCATACGCTAAGCAATATCCCTATAGAAATATATAAAATAATAAACTGCTGATGGTAGACTGGAACAGCAATATCAGAATCATATACCTGGAGGAAGGGAAGGGAGAGAGCAAAAATAGCTAACATAGTATAAAAAATTGTCAGATAAGACCCTTTTTATCTTGAAAATCATAAGAGAAGAAGGAAAGTCATTAATATACATAGGATCCCATTAGTCTAACCAGCAGGTTATGACCTATTTGCTTCATAGATGCGTGAAATTTCTAATGAACTCTGCAGGTCCCACAGTAACAAAACTGCCCGTTACTACACATAGAACTCACAACATGTGACAACAATTGTACTCTTGTGACTTCGCTATCTCAATGAGAATGTACTATCTGAAAACTACTTCCAAATTATCAAGCATGGTTTTACTAAATTTTCACTACCCACTTACAAGTTCAAATGAATTTCAATATATCATCACAAATGGCAAAACAATAGATGTACGCCAAACATACGGCATGGACAGTCAATATAAAATTTGTACTTAAAAACACATAATGTTCAAAATTCAGCTGTACATTTCTTTGCAAACCTTATAATTTGGAAGGGCGCCAATCAAATAAAAACTAATGCACTAGTACGATGCAATAGAGGAAGAACCTTGCGCTGCTCACTGATGAGATAAGCGTATTTGTCGATATTTGGGACAGCAAGCAACTTGGGCATCAAATGATTCCGGAAATAGCCCGGAGCAACCTTCACTGTCTCGCCGGCTTTCCCGAGCTTGTCTATTGTCTGAATATATCAAAACAACAATAATAACAATAACTCTTAAACTAAAAAGCCTCTAAATTAAACCAAACAACAGTGAAACTCCTTAATTAAATATACTCACCGTTGTGAGAATAACTTCCAATTTTCTGTATCTAACACCTTGACCAGCATACAACAATGGGTGATGCAATACACTCTCGGTGCTCTGAAAATGAGTTGGGTCTTTGATGGTCTTAACGTGGCGGAGGACACTTCTACCATATTGGATATAAGCCATTCTTTATATGCTCTGACTCTCAAAAACTTAACTTAGCAACAACACCAAAAGATTTAAAATATAAAATATATATATATATATATATAAATTCAAATACTAATCAGATGAGAAAATGATGAAGCTTTTCATAGTCTAATCAGCAAGTATTGGATCCAAATTTCAATTGAAAACCACCATATTCAATTTACTGGCAATCAATGCTATAAAATCCAAAATTATATTCTGAAAAAACAGGTTGAAAAAAGGAACAAGAAATCATGAGTTGTTATAAATGAGAAACTACCATCTAAATAGTCAGACTACAGATATCATGATCGTCCACCAAGAGTTTACATGAAATTCATGAGAGTACTTGTTCAAATTCATGAGAGAGTGTGAGCTTTGAACTATTGTTTATGTCTACCTGCGATTCCGATTCGATCACACTTTGATTTCAGCACCTTCGGGCTAGGGCTCCTGCGAGGGCGTCTCCATTTCTACTGAACTAGGGTTTTTCTCCAACAGAACCAGGTGATGCAATCCGAAAAACCCTATTTTATACCCACATTCCAAGCGGGTCAAATAGGGATTCAAGCATTCCAATCTGGTTGATGGATTCAGGACGGACCCTTTCCTAAATGGAAAATTATTGTTGCACGATTAGTTCCAATGAATTACTTATTATTTTTTATTTACTCCGTATTAGTTATGTTACAAATAAGGAATTCACTTATTTTTATTTAATAATCAATTAAAATTTATTTGATTAGGTAATTTAATGTAAGTAATCAGTATTACAATTCTTTCTAAATTCATTCCATTAATTGAAAAATATATTTAAATTTCGTTTGGGAGTTCGGGCACGGTTTGAATCACTCCGCTATACATATTTTTTTTAAAAAAATAATTTATTATCTTGAACAAATTTAAGACAAAAAAATTGTAAATTTTTTTAATATGGTCAAATATTTAACTATCAATTATTATCAAACCGAGTTAAAATTTAAAATCATTATAAGAAATAAAGAAAAAAGAAAAAGTATTCCCGATAAAAGAATTTTTAGGTATATATTAAGGACTTTTGTGTGTTTTAAACTATTTTTTTAAATCTGTCCCTAACCTAACATTATTAGGATGATCCCAACAAATTGACATCTTTATCTGGTTGTCATTGTTTTAGGGACATTTATGTTATAAAAAAAATGACAATTTCGTTATTTCATTTTAAAATAGCATTTGGTTAATAAAAATGTCAATTTTGTAATTTCATTTAGTTTCTATTAAGCATTTAGTTAGTATGAATTTTTTTAAGGAAAAATATGAGAAAATATTGTTTCATTAATTTGAATGGTAGAAAAGTGAAAAGAAAATAATTTTATATACCAAAACTACCCTTACTAATTTAATATAAATAATATACCTGACATAAAAATATATATACGATTGGGTTATGAATAAATATATATATATATATATATATATATATGTGAGAATCTTTTCGAGTTTTTATGGAGGAAGAAAATCAACTTGTTGCGAGAATATTATTTTTCTGAAAACTTTCTTTTTTTATTTTTAGTTTTGATAATTTAAAGGAATTCTTTTTTAAAATATTGATTGCTGAGGTGTTTTTTTTTTGCAATTTGTCCTCTTTGGCTTTTGAAAATTTTAAATTTTAGTGAAATTTTAAACAAAATTGACCATAAAATAAGAAAAGTATAAATATTTATCAAATTAAAACTTAATTGCAGAAAAAATTGAAATTGCCCAGGGAAAAAAAAAAAAAAAAAAAAAAGTGACCATTAGAATTTATTCTCCAAATTATTCTTCACACATTAGACATTCACACTCATCTCTCCCTTTTTTTCTTTTTTTTTTTCACCCAAACAAATGTTGTCTCTTCTTTCCTCCCACAAGAGCGCGTAATTTCGATGAACCCAAACCTCCTCACTGTCTAAATGGAGTATTGTAGAACACTAGAGAGATTGTATAAATTGATAAATTAGAGAGGATTCTAGGAGGATTTTTTTTTTTTTTTGACACATACTAGGAGGATTGAGAGTTCTGTAAATATGTTAGTAACGGCTTTAATGGGTAGATTTTAGTCATTGATTGTAATGTATCATAGCAGTGGATGCCTATATATATATAGTTAGAAATCTCATTTGTAATTATTAAGCAAAAAGAAAATTCCATACAATGGTATATTATATGAAAAACTTGAATACTTGCCTATGGTGTATTTCAACTTAAAAGAAAATATATTCGGTATTTGATAAGAATACAATAAATATAAATCATCTATTTTATGATATCCAAACAAAATTGATGTCAAAACTGAATAATTTTATCTATGTGGTGAATGACAATCACTATTGTAGTTGATTTCGGAGATCACACTGTAACCAATTAAATTAACTTATTTTTATAAAATTATTTAAAATGTTTTTTAAATATATTACAGTGATACTTGATAGTAGACTGAGACTCTTAAAAGGTTTTAATTTTACACAAAAAAAAAATTATTTTACTAATAATTTTCAATCTCAATTTCATAACCATTTGATATCACAATACTTACGGATTGCTTACTTAAGCTTAGTCATGGAATCTCATGTGACTATCTGCCACGTCCAACTTAGTAAGATAACTAATACGTTGGTTATAACTTATGACCTTTAAGTTGATTGGTTAAACCTTAAAAAAAACAAGAAAATTACATTTAAACCACTAATAACTTGGTGCACTATGAAAGGGCCTGAGATCAACCCTAGGTGTACCAGTGTTGAAATCAAGTATAAGAGTGAAAAAGAGGGAATGCTTTCAACCGGGGCGGAGTTAGGATTGCAAAGTAAGGGGACTAAAAATAATTAAATCCATGATTACTTTGTGTGTCATTCATACTCTAAATACAAAATTCTTATGCATTAGTCATTTAATTAGACCCAATAATCTACAACCTTCTAACACATTTATACTTCCAAACTCTAATGTATTTTCACAGTCAATAATCCACTGAAGTCTGCTTCATACAAGTATTAAAACAAACACTTATAAGAATATAAGATATATATCTTCCTTATCAATAAATTCACATTAAAAAGTCAGACCTATGTGCTTCGCCCCTGACTAGTTATTAATCCATTATATAGTAAATTATCCAATTTAACAATAAATCATCAACAAGTCATCAACAAAGCCCCATCTTTTTTTTTTTGTACAAAAATAAAATTCAATATTTCACTGGATTAACAATAATAATCCATGATATCCATCCACCTATGCCTTAGTGCCTTACATAAAAAGAGTTTAGGTCTTTTTCCGTAGACTAACAATGTATTTAATTTACGGAGTTAGGCCTTGTTATGTTTTATTATGATTTATTTTGTGATTGATTTGTCTATGGTTGGTGGGTTTGCTTATATTTAAGGCTTGATCTTTGTAAATTTTATAATTCCTTGTATTTATAGAAATCCAATGGATTAAGCTGTTCTGATAGAAAAAGAAAGAGTAATATATGGACTTATAAAAACAATAGTACTAAATTTTTTTTTTCAATTCGACCTGAGCTATAGCCCATGTTAGCCCATTACTAGTTCCCCCTTGCTTCTTTCAACAATTCCACTGAAGTTTTCAACAACTAAAGTCTTATCAAATTAAACCTTTTCACAATGTAGATTTTTTTTCCTATCAAAAAGTTACATTTTTTTAGCGTAGGAAAGAAGAATTTGTGTTTTGCAATTTCTTTTTATATAAACCTTTTTCTCAACGTCATTCCGAACTAAATTAGTAGGAAAAAATATATCTAAAAACTTTATATATAATAAAACAATAATTCGAAAGACAAATTCCATATTTCCCGAATGCAAAGCATGACTATGGTAAATGGAAAAACAACTTTCACATTTAAATATTAATTGTTGATATTCAATGAGCAAACCAAAAATAAAACATTGACAATTTTAAATGTATTGAATAGGAATATCAACAATTAATATTTAAATGTTTTATTTAATTTTTGGTTTAAAAATAAAAGAAGGAAAAGTTAATTTCTAGTGACCAAACCTTAATAAAATTGTTTTATAATTACCATTAATTCACAAAAAGATTAATGGTCATCAATTCTAAAAGTTAATTGCTAATAAAGTAATAAGGGGCCACTTAAGTAAAAATTTGTCAAAAAATTGTGAATGACCACAAGTTTTTTTATTGACAATTAAAAAAGGGAGGTACACTCTACTTTTCTACAATTGCACTCCAATCTTAAAAGAAATGTCACTTATATCCCTAATTTTATAAATAAATAATTATTATTTTTTAAATACCACAATTACCCTTTCGATTATAGAAATATATTTTGCCTCTCTCTCCTCAATTTAACGTTTTTGGTCACTCACAGTCTCTCTTAATTATTTATCTATTTTGTATTAATTATCTGTGTTGACCATAAGGATTCCATCCAAGGACAATCTAAGTGTTTTGATGATAACAAACCATTAATGGTGTTTAAGGACTAATGTTTACGTTGAGTGTTATAGATGATTTACATTCAAAGAAGAACCTCAATGAAGATCATAAAAACCATTCCAAGTATTCCATTACTCAACATCACATCATGGAAACACAAGGATACAAAGAAGACTTCAAGTCGCAAGGAAAGATAGCTTGGACTACAATGAGCAAGAAAGCAACTCTAAGAAAGGAAGAAAACAAGTCTATCTAAAAGCCTATACGATCATGGACAAAGCATGAAGAAAGGGGTAAATAGGTTGATATCTGTTACAGAGCACTGAACAGTTTCATTTTCTGGTATAAATGCAACTCAACCGACTCAGTCAGCAATCCAGCCTACTGGATTAGGCCGAGGCTCATCAAAATCAAAATGCAACTCAGCCGACTTTCTTCTCAACTCAACCTACTCAATTGGGCCGAGGCTCATCAAAATCAAAATGCAACTCAGCCGACTAAATTGATAATTCAGCCGACTCCCTTCTCAACTTAGCCGACTCCCTTCTCAACTCAGCCAACTCAGTCTTGAACTGAGCCGACTTAGTTCTCAACTAAGTCGACTTAGTTGATGGTCAACCAGATCTACATTGAAATCCTCGATATTTCAACCCGTGTTTCTCTTTATGCTTTTACAGTTTGACTCACATGGGTTCACTGACATATTGTGTGTCTTCTAACTCTTGTCTTGATGTCAATAGCCATTTTATCTATTAAAGGATCATACACATGATTTTAAATCTTATCTGCCCTATGCACTGAACACCTCTGTCAAACAAGGAATCTCTGTCATGGGAAGCTTCTCTACTAAATGAGCTATGGCAAGTCTTAATCAAGAAAAGGATTTTCAACAGCTAAGTTAAGGGTTTACAACGGCTATTAACCAAGGAAGATGTCTATATATGTTAAGTTATGTTGTCTGCAAATGGGTATGCTTGAGCCTCAAAAGACAAAGCTGTTAGAGCCATTTTCGTGCATCCAAAAGAGCTTTTGCCCCACCATTCTACAGAACTTTTGTTCTGGTATTACTCCTTGAGAAAGCTCTTATTCTGAACAATCAATCATCTTCTCCTACA